TTACCATTCAGTTACCTTAGACTGTAAATGCTTTATGATGACTAGAGTATAACATTATTATAGGACAACGGTGAACATATCGGTTCTCCTTCCTATCAGAAGCGAGGCAATTCGACCTTAACACAGATATTATTTTATTACTATTATCATCATCATCAGTCCTTTATTTGTACCTTTGGCTATCTGTATGGCCCATGTCATGATCTGCTCCATGTCCATCTCCTCACTCTGCTCGCTGGAAAGGTACTCATACAGAGACCCTCCACTAGCATATTCTGTAACACACACACACACACACACACACATAGAAGCAATCATCATTATTAGATAAAGAGAAATCATGTGTACACGGCTATTCATTCTGCATTCTTCTTCCATTCTGCTGGATGTTAACATACTTGTACGTACATCAGTAGGCTACAACTAACCTGTCAGACACAGTTTGAGTTTAATCTTTAAAAACTGGCTATTGAAAGAGTAAACATCCACTTTTATATCGCAGTTACAGCAGATATCACTCTACATGCTTACTACGTCAGTATATTATAATGTGTGAGAAACATGGCACACAGTTAGGCACTGCACACCACACAGAGAAGCTAGCTCAAATCAGTGGAAACGCTCACGACCTTCATACCCTGACCGTCTAATCCAGATTATCTCTGAACTTTTAACCTTTCCCATTTTCCTGTTAAATCTGACAATTCAAAGAAACAAGTAGAAACCAGAGGATAATGTCCAATCAAAGGATGTAACATGGCAAGAATAACATGGATAAATCTGCCCTTTTTAAATGATGGCAAAATGCATTTTACTGGGAACAAAATTATCTTCCTGAACCAGTTCTTCTTTTTGCCTACTGTACTTTTTTATTTTTAGTAAGCGCTGGACTGTTAAACTCCAATGCAGCAAGAATTGTTGCTGGACAAGTCTGTAGTGGTGTGTCGGTGCTTTATCTTAACCATATGACCCCATCCAGGATTACAACCATATCCAAACATGTTGGTCTCAGTTACAAATGTCCTGCCAGAAAACACAGCAAGAACCAGCGCTCAGAGTATACACCGATACTTCAAAACACACACATAAACACTTGTCAGCCATCAGAGCATGTGCTAACCTGTCTGTAAGTAGCACGTGTAGGATACACACTAATAAAGTGATATACACACACACTTGTGTAGTTTTATATGAGAACACCATCTGCCCTGACCCTAGCCCCTTCATGCCTCACCTTAAACCCTGACCCGACCCTAATGGTACTTATATCCATTAGGGTGTAACCCCAAAGATAATAATACACATCTTAGAAGCTCGCTCACATTTGTAGAGCACATTTTCAAAAGATAACTCAACTAAGTTTAAAATACTCCCACAACCATATGTTCAGGTTTTATGTTCTTGTGAGGACATCTGAAAGAATCTCTCACACACACACACACACACACACACACACACACACACACCGTGGAGTCTGACCTGTGACAATGCCATAGTTGGGGGATTCCAGCACAGCTCCATAAAACTGAATGATGTTCTTATGACTCAGGACACTAAGAATCTCAGCCTGGATGAGGAGATGAGAGAAAGAGAAACAGAGGGATATGAACAACAATCCTCCTTCAGTTTTCCAGTATCTGATATTGGCAAGGAAACATGGCTTTAAAGAAATGAAGTGTAAATCATTCCTGATGGCCTGTACACCTAAAAATTAAGAGCTTTTGACTTGTTCTGACAGTGTCCCCGGGATGCCTGGAGATCTGCACCTCTTTCATACCACAGGTTGAGCCTCCAAACCTTCCACATGGAAGTGACAAACATGCCATTAATCTGAAATGACATATGGGTCATACCCTCTGAATATCTGGAATATGTAACTGTTTCTAAGCAACATAATAACAAATCATAAATTATATGAAATCACCCATAAAAAAAAAACACCAAAAAAACACCAATATATTTTCTCAATAAATACGTTTTACTTCCAAAGAGCGGTTTATCTTATCGCTTTTATTCCTATCATTTCTTCCACGTGTCAGTTTGTCAGCGTGTCCAAACATCAGTTCGTGTGCATGTATTTGCAGATGCAGTTTTACATTTGTGAATGCAACTAAGTACATTAACTCGAGTACTGTTCTATACTCGATATTCGTAATATTCAGTACTTGAATATTGCCATTTTATGCTAATTAATACTGTAATATTGCACTTTTACTCCACTACATTTACATTTTGTTGCTAATACGTCTGTACTTTTACTTAAGCAAAACTTTAAATGCATCTGTAAGATTTATTATAGTGTTGTGCTGCTAAGTAAAGGAAATTATTTATATACTGTGTGTGTGCAAAGATCCAAGATCAGTTAAAATATGATTTTAATGTTCACAGGCAGCTCCATTTGACATGAAGTGTTGTAAAAAAAGATTCACGAAGGTTCCGCTGAGCTGCAGTTCACCCATGACCCATCAATTTGTATTTACATACGAACTGTACACATACACTTTCAAGCATGTCTGCCCACCCTGCATGTGTTTGCGCATGGGTGTGAGTGCGAGAGAAATAAGTCAAAAGACTAATCAAACTCTGTTCATTCTGTAGCCGGCCCATGTGCATACATTGTTTAAACCTGCTGCTGCAACCGACAGCAATAACACAATGCCAGATTCACCCACAGGTCACCCTAACTTATAACAGTATCCTGACACTGGGTCTACCAGCCCAGTATTAATAACATGGAAGCCATTGGGGTCATACTCGTGGAGAACCACCCGGGCCTGAAGTTCAGTGCATAAAGCCCCACATGACCACACACCTCGCTCCTAACACACAATGGGAGGAACAGGGGACTGCTGGCATAAATAAAACTGCTCCATCCACAATGAGTGGGAGGAGGAGGGGGACAAGGAGAGGTATGTTTAAGATAAACACATGTTCAACGGCAGACAACAGGGGAGGAGGGGGAGGGAGTTAGCTTTGGGTGTACGAGTCCAAAGAAAATCTGGGAAAATTACTGGAAACTGATTCATGTTGAAGTTTAGAGCAGCAGATGAACAGATGAGTCCATAACTTGTACAAATGATATGTCTCTGCAGCAGGAGTATATAATTGCTCTGTGTGTGTGTGTGTGTGTGTGTGTGTGTGTGTGTCTGTCTCTTCCATACCTCTTTGTCAATCTTCAGAAGCTTCTTCACAGCCACTTCCTTGTCCTGGGAAATCCAGAGGGCTCTGTAGACACTCCCAAAGCTGCCTCCTCCACAGTTCTCATAGAAGAGCAGGTCCTCATGCTTTATCTGCACAAACGACGAGCCAGGGGACGACATGGCATACTGACTCACACGCACACAAACACACACATATACACACACACACAGCCCAAAAAGCTTGCACGCTCAACCACCGGCGCTGCCCCAAAAGTATACAAGTCACAAATCACCACAGAATGCGCTTGACGGGTAAGAAATGAAGAGAGGCAGAGTGGTTTCCACCACAGGGTCGGAGTGGATGTTGTCAGTCAGCAGAACGGATAGTCAGAGAGAAGAAACTAGAAAGTGTTGGAAAGAGAGAGAGAAGTTTGCTCCCTGTGAGTCAGGAAAAGTTGAAGCCCCCTCTGTCACTACTACTAGACAAGGTATTACATTGCCTGATAGTGGTGATCCGGTGTAACTGCAACACAGCACACACACACACACACACACACACACACACACACACACACACACACACACACACACACACACACACACACACACACACACACACACACTCACACACAAATGCACAGAGCGTGAAGATGAAGGGGAGGTGAGTGTGGGTGAGTGTCTGTAAGTTACGGTTTGTAGTTAGTGTGTGTAGTCTGCCTGTAGCAGACACACTGTTCAAATATGGTCACTGGCATCCAGGGCATTCCTTCTTCCTGGATAACTGTGGCTATATAAAGCTCTCCATACACTACACACACACACACACACACGCACACGCACACACACACACACACACACACACACACACACACACACACACACACACACACACACACACACACAGATATACAGCTCTGGCCGATAGTGTGTCAGACATAATAAATCAGTTAGCAATGAGGGTCATACTTAAATCCATCTCTCACACACTTTGCATCTAAAAACACACATCGGAGAAGCCAGGCAGCGTAACTGTGTGTTACTCAACCCGACAGGAATGACCCAGTGACATCATTAAGCAAGATAGCCCTGCTGACATCACTGCGTGGGGACAGGTGAGATCAGCTCGGGGAAGTTAGGACTTGTTGACAGTAATTGAGTGCAAGAGGGGACTTAATAGTGATTCATTGGATAAATAAAACATGACTTAAAAGTGTGAAGGCCTGCTCGCAGGTCCCAGAAGCTGCAGTGAATCATTGCACTCCATAGTATGAAAGTGTTGGTTCAGAACCAAATTCAGAGGGCTTCTTCCTCTGGGGAGCAGACATGAGACCAGCAATCTGCCAGCTGGAAAATCAAATCTCTTCTCTGCAAGTGGAAAGTTTGTCACATCAGGGTGATGGTAGAGTTCAGGAGGCGGATGGCCAACATTCATATTCAAAAATGGCTCCTCCCCATGAGCATCTGCATCGAATTGCGTTGCCATGTGTGAACTAGGCTTTTATGCGCAGAGCTGGTGATTTGGCCCCATAGGTGGTGTCAGACAAAAGATCACGTGATGACCTCAAATGGATCATCAAGGGAGTCAATGTTGTTGCAGCTTAATTCGCTCAGATCTAGCAGACCACTGTGCAAACACTCGTATACGATATTCTACAGTATTACCTGTTTCTAATATTCATATTGAAGCAAGTTTCATGTCTTTCATATTTTATATTTACATAAAATGAATAGATGGCAGATAGAGAGATAAAAATGGTACAAAAAAGATGCAGCAGAGCTTTTAGTCCCTATATGTTTCTAAAATTGCTGAATGTTTGTGTGCCAAAAACCTTTTTTTAATGAATTTCATGGTAACGTGAGCACTGTTAAATTAGCTATTTTTATTTACAAGGCAGACCACACATACAGTACAGTTACAGGCTGCTCTGGGGAAAAGCCAGCCTCACAGCAGTTCTCGACACACACCATCACATCAAAAGCTCCTGAGATCAAAGGAAAATTAATGACACTTGTCAAGAACACACTCAAAATCTACACCCACATATATAAAAATAAAATTACACGGACTGATCACGACTTGTAAAGATGAGAAGATTTCCCCTCAAAGTAGAAGTTGACTTTAGATTCTGCGTCTAGGATCAGCGCTTCAAAATCAAAGGAGTACATTTTGATCATACGGCTGACCTCGGAGAAGATCGTACCGAGCAACTTCATCATCTAGAATAATTCATATTCTTCAGGAGATGTACTTTCGATGCAAAAATAAAACGCAATACTGCAGTGACAAATCTGAACACTGTTTGCATTACCAATAGGGCTTTAATCCAACTAATACTCTGTTTAGTAGTTTTGAAGTGTCTGACTAGTTAGGGGACACTGATATTTATCTAAAGGCCATCAAATCCTAAAGATTTTCAAAGACTTGGATATAATCATTATGAAGTAAATAAGTACTTTCAGATTTCATATTTATCTGTATATTCAACAGGGAAAATGCAGAGTCTAGGTTACTACGGTTCATGGGGTTTTCTGTGTTTTCTGTCTATGAGTAGGACCATCAGGAGACTAAGGTTTGCTTTACAGGCAGGTACAGTAATATATTGTAAACTAGGGCTCATTTGGGGGTAGCACAACATTACAGGACAGTCCGATAGAAATCCACTGTATAGAACAAAAAGCCTATGGAGTTCAGTCATGCAGGATATTGATTCCAGTTCTATACATTACAGTTCTATCTAACAGGTCCCAAACAGTAACAACTAGTACGGTTAAAACCCTCAGAGACACAGCGACAAGAGATCAGCTGAACACTTTCTGTCCAGGAGGAAGAGGCGTTTAATGGCACAGTATAAGTCCTTGATCCATAATAGTCCATAATAGTGCTAAAGTCATTGACCGTGTGATTTGCTACTGTACGACCAGTTGTGTTGAGTTGTTTTATCCGGGTAATGTGTGTGGGGTTTTGTTTTTATGCTATCGTCACAGAGAAGGCGGTGGTGGTGGAAGATCTGGAGCTCATGTCCGCCGAGGCTCCATCCTGTAGGAGAGCTGCGTCAGCGCCCTCTGGTTGTCGATCACACAGAGCTTCCTTACGTACCCCCGTACCTCCGCTTGATTTTTGTTGGGTTGGCATATGTCGGGATCTAATGGAGAAATGGAAAAAAAATGTGATTGGAAGATTGTGTGTGTAGCCAGGATGTAAATGTGATAAAGGTGGGGTGATGAGTAAAAAGCAGACTTACTGAACGGTTGGCTTCTACAGTGCCTCACTTGTCGAATTGTGTTAGCTATAATACGCTGAAGAGTTGAGGGTAAGAGACTCTTTAGATATTACATTCAACTTGAGTGAAGTATATGCTAATAAAATTTCCCTAAAATTGATAATTCAATGAGCACAGAAACTCACCATTTTCTCAAAATTGACCATATTGTCGATGAAGGTCTTGTTGCCCTCGTGTGTAAATGTCATATCTGTAAAGAAAATAAGTAAATTTAACAACAGCCGAGTTCCTCCCAGAGTTTATCCCCATGTGATACAGTGACTGGGCTTTTCTTGAGAGAGAGACATGTGTGTCATACCTTTGAGAAGGAGGGGCATAAAGGGAATGATTGGCGGTTCCAGTTTGGTGACAGTGAGTCGGTAAGACCGGTGGTTTCGTGATGGGTCCTGTCACCAAACATATAAGCAATGTCAATTTCTAAGAGATTTGGTACTCAGTTCAACCAAAAAAAACTAAACATATTTTCTTAATTATCACAAGTTGTATAGATACTGTATTCAGCTAGTTTGGGTTTCATTTGCCCATGTTTTGAAATATCTACTGTATTTAAGTATAAACTTTTTTTAATCTATCCATCTATAGATTTCTGCTGCCACCCCAATACAATGGTAATTTAATTTCATGCAACTCACCATCATGCTCTCAAACTCAGCATAGAACTTCTTAAACTTGGTGGGGAGTTTCTGCCAGGAAAAACAGAGATTTCAATGTAGTACTTGTTGTACTTTAGCAGCAGTGGAATAGACCCAAGGTTCACTGAAGCTCTAGACACAGATTATTAGATTATCAGAATTAGACATAGTTTACCTCCCACGTCTGGCTCAATCTGCTGACAGCTGGGTTGCTCATCCCCATGATGATGGCAAAGAATGAATTCAGGTTCTTAAACTCCCGACAGCTATCGACAAACACACACAAGCAATGTATATTAGAAACTCTTCATCTGAGTGCATGTGTGCAGAACAGCATTCACATGAAGTGTGTGACAGTCGCCAGCAGGTCCTACTCACTGTGCAGCTATCTTGATGAACTTCTTGAGGAGCTGGACTCTCTTGCTGAGCTGCCCGCAGAGGCAGACCTCAGTGACCACCCACAGCTGAACCTGGTTGAACCTCCGCAGAAACAGGTCCAGATTGGCCGTTGTTCTCTTAAAGCTCTGCCGGCCAAACGTGTGGTAGAGCAGCTCGTGCTGGGAAGGGGGGGGGTGAGACATTACGGGGGAGCAGTGGACATGTCCTGCCATCTTGCATCTATCAAGTGTTACTCCTGCAGGGTTTGCGACACTGTACACGTCTTGTAACAGATCGTAGTCTTCTACTACTGGCCTAAAGTTGGTTTTAGTGTGTCTAAGTGTGCTTGTGTGATACCTCATGGACACAGCTGAAGAGCTCCCAGTCGAACATGGTCATTTGGTAAGCCAGGTCCTTAGAACTCATCAGCTCAAAAGTTGACATGGAGCCTGCAGAGGGACCCTCCTGGTCTGGAAGAGGAGTCTGAGCAACACAAACACAAACATTGTGCAAATTCATAAGCATATAAAAAAAACACAAATACAATTTTGAACAAATTAAATAATCAATTTATTATCATCCATCCGTATTTTTACACCTGTAGCTTATTTCAAACAATGTCATGTGAAAAGGATCCATTGTAATAGTGCTTACATTACTATACACATATATTGGAAATCACCTGCTCAGAAGTCATTATGCTCTACAGTACCGTACATTTCTTACTCCGCCTTGTACTTCAGCGCCATCATAGTATAATCACGACTAAGAATCTATGCTAGGTGTTACTGTAAACCCACTTCATAAAACTTAATGTAAGTGCAAGTAGGCACTCATCTCTTACCAGACTGTTCAGTTGGTCTCGAGGACAGGCAAATAATCGCCCGTTGATGCTCAGACCAGAAAACACTGACACGTCATTTGGCTTCAGGATTAGTTTTTCTGTAACAAAAATGGGGATAGTTGAGTTTTCGTCATCTATATATATATCCCAATACTAAACCTAAAGACAGTTACCATATTGGCGACCATTAAGTACCATACATTTTAAATCCTGCTCCTTGCATACACAGTGCAATTGGTATACCCAGGTAATAGCATTGACATCTGTCTGTAGGTAATGTTGCTGTAAACTGCTCTTTCATATCTAAATATATCTGTAATATTACCACCAGCAGAGCTGAGGTTGACCAACAGGAGCTCATCAGTGGTGCCAAGTTTGTCGGCCACAGCGCTGATCACTTCTCTTCCCGTCGCCACCACAGCAACCCGGATAGTCGTGTACGTGTGGTCACTGCAGTACACCTTCAATAGGACTAGACAGACAGAGTCAATTTAAAATTACTTGCAGGAATGGTCAGCGATAATATTCAATTCATTGTTGGAGCCCACCACCTGCAGAGTAAAAGAAAACTTACCGTCATCTTGATTCCTAATGGGCTGTTTCTTCTGCAGCCTTTCCTCCCCGTTGCTGAACTGTCGTATTAGGGTTTTCTGTTGAATTACACGAGAGTATAGTCAACAGCTAACATGTGATGCAGCTAACATATAAAATGTGCTATAACATTTCGTCAAAAACAGTAGTCAGGACTTGCCTTTTTTGCAGATTTGGCTTCTTCCGAACTACAAAATACAAAAAGGGTAAAATTAAAAAAAAGACACAATAAATGTGGCTGGTACCTAAATAATCACAGCGAAAGTTTAACATGCAGGAGCTGGGAAACGTACTGAAATTTGACGACTTTCTCCAGATCAGGAACCAAGTCTTTCAAAGCTCTCATCATCCGAGAATCATTTGATAAACTCCCATACAACTCCTGCAGAGACAAAGAGGAAGAGCCACACTCAGACTACATGCATATATCTGTATTAGTTATGCAATTCGCTGATATTTAAAAGCTTGCTTTAGGTCACCTCTAGGAACGAGATTGGAGCAGGCTCCTCCTGTAGCATGTATGTGTGTGTGTTGGCCCAGCGCAGGGACAGAATAAGGACTCTCCTCTTACTGTTGACCGTGTACTCCAACCTCTCCTGTTCAGAGCCAGGTGGAGATGCCGCATGGTAGGTGCACACAAGGTTAAAGATGAATAGAAAAATGTAGATCTTACATTTCCGAAATGGTAAGCACGTAGACAGACGTGTAGGATCACAGCACTGATCTATGGGAATTGTTGCTGTGGTTAAATCCATATTTTGATGCAGTTTATGATAAGATCTTATGCTAGGTAGAGCTCTCAAACAGTTACACATCTAGAAGGGGAGATAGTTGTGTATAAACCTATCACAGCGCCATTCAAGAACATTTTTATTTACAGGTCACACTGACATACCACCTGACCAAGAAACACAATGTGAAGAACTAAATGCTTTGCTGAAAAGAGAACGGATATTTGAACCTTCTCACGGCCATAGTTAACCCTCATCACTGCATCCTAGGTACCAAATAAGGGAATAACCATCAGTGCAGCAGTTGTTTGCAGTACAATGACGAAGACAATAAGAAAAGACCTTCTCGGCTGAGATTACGACTTGGTGTGAAGCGAGGTGTGCACTCTGTGAGCAGTTCATTAGTGCTGGATGGTCAACTGCTGCTTCAGCGCTTCCATAAGCAGAACCGGTAAGTTGCACAGTCCAAGATGCTGTCAGTCGGACGGTTATGGTATGCAGTAAACAATAGACGTGTCCATCAATTTCTGAGCAGGATTTGTCAACATAACATTCTGGCTACAGTTATAAACTTGTAAGTGTACCAACCTGATAAGTGGGTATCACATTGAGTATATAAAGTAATAATATTTATAAAGTACATAAAAAAAAGAAATAGCAAAGGCAGAAAGGATATTGTGCCATGAGTAGAGGGCACAGCTGGCTGCTGGGCATGAAGACACAGTGCATGAGGACAAAATCATCCACTGCTGGGTCTAACAGAAAGGAAAAATAACAGGCAGCAAGAGGGAAAAGAGACAGAGGGGAAAGGAAGGATATTAAGAGGTTCAAAAGGTAGTGAAAATACCATCCATTATTAATCCATTTGTCTAGCATAGCTCTCTATTCCAGCCTTTTATTACAATGCCTTTCACATAGTGTCTGGACTATCTCTGGTAACCATCTATTCAAAATTAATTTAGGTCTAATGACCTTTTCATTTTACTTTACATATTTCTATTCGGCTACCTGGTTCACTGTGATGTATGTCCATCCTCATGGTCTCCAGGAAGTGCTCAAGAATCTTCTCTGGTGTTCCTGATATCACAGTGTACCTGCAAAAATGTGAGACATGAAGAATTTTTTTTAAAAAAAGCCTACTTTTGAGAGCGAGAGTGAGGGAGTATATATATATGTGCGTGTGTGTGTGTGTGTGCAAGAGTCCTCACACATACTTGATGCTTCCCAGGGTGGAGGCGCGAGGACTCTTTTCTAACACCAGCACAACTTGTTCATGCTCTTTCAAACGTACTGTGTTGGCCTCCACATCCTGAAAAATACAACAAGATGAATGGACAAATCAGTAACATCACTCCATGTCACACACAAAAATGTGGCTTTTTAAATGTAATACAGCTCCTCCGCCAGAGGAGGGAGACAAACATCCCAGTCACCTGGCACAGAGTGCAGTACGATGCTTCAGACAGCCCAAATGAATGAATTCACAAAGTGTTCAGTGGAATGCATCTGACTTTTGACTTTATCTTTTGACTGTGACTTGTGAATATACATTGCTAATAACAGTATTTGTAACAGTTTGGACCAAAGGTAGTAATTTGGAGCTAGTGTGGCTATACTTGCATTCACCAGAGAATAAATGTCCATCTCTCGTCAGCCTACCCTGAGTATCCTGTTGAAGTCTTCCTTGTCCACACGGAGGAAGTGGCAGTTGTCCTCCCTCAGGACGATGGAGGCGGCACGAGGTGAATCTGTAACCAGGGCCAACTTGCCAAAGTCATCACCCTCATGGAGCGTACATACCACACCCTAAGACATACACACACACACACACGCATGAATGCACACATAAACCAAAACGCTTCAAGATACAAACATACGCAAACACAGTTTACAAGTCATCTTAAGCCCTGAAGCCTCTGGGCTTGAAGGGATGAATCATCTGTCTGTGTGTGCGGAGAGTGCATGTGTGTATGTACATGTGTGATAAATGTGTATGCACGCACATAAGCATGTAGAGTACATATGTCTGTACAGTGGTTGTAAATCGGCGTGTGGTGTGAAATTGTGTATGCGTACAATCCCTTAAGCTATTTAATCACGGTGATGAGTCATGGCCGAGCTGAGGAGAGTTTGTCAAACTCCACTGCGGGTGTTTCCCAGCCCCACAGGGCAGATACTGCTGGTCTGCTGCACACAGACACGATCAGCTACACATTTTAATCCATCACTTCCAGATGAAATATCATCAAACGAAGCGGAAGATTATATCAATGCTCATGAAAGAAATATAAGCATGTAGGTGGATGAATGCATTCGACATACACACCTTGCCGTAGATCACCACATTGACAGAGCCCTTCTGGATGATGTACCATGATGTGCCCTCCTCTCCCTGGTTGAACACTGGAAGACAAGGAGGACAAACACATTTTACCGCCACATACAGTCCTAACAAACATTCTGTACACCAGAGGTCTTTAAACTGCAAGGCACACCTGGATGGGGCACAGGAGGGAGAGGAGGGAGTCAAATCTGAACACGCAGACATAATAAATACATATATTTTTAGATTCATCATTATTTTTTGCTACACTTCCTGAGGATATTATCTCCACTGCGAATAAACATTATAAATAATACTATAAAAGATGTTCCTCACAACTCCAGACCTCGCCTGAGAATCATCGCATTTTCTTCAGTATCAAAGTAATCCAGTGATAGTTGTCTGTATATCTATGGGTACATTGCAAACAGGACTTGCTAATAGTTCATTTGCCATACTTTAATGGTGGCAAGTTGGCAAAATGTTAAGACATATAGGCCAAAAGCTCAGAGCCAACTCTACAGTAAGTCCATGACAACTTTTACGTTTACATCCCATTTACAAATGCATTAATATTAACTTTATTGTGATAGTACAAAGTGGATAAAAGACTCACACACGGTTCCAGCTTTTGCATGCGATTCAAAGATCACAACACTCGCCAGTTCTCTCTTCACCTGCAAAACAGAGTACACCTTATCAAGTGATGTAGGATCTCCGTCATGACAGCAGATGGAGAGTTTTGTTTTATGAGACTTTTATTCCCCTGAAATGTATGTTTATAAGCACTGTGTTCAAAAGCATAACGGAAGAGAATAGGAATAAAAAACAATTAAATGAAGAACTTAATTTACTGTAAGCCCATTGTTTGTAAACTACTTACTGATTCTAGGAATATATGGAGCATGAAATCAACAACAAAAATACTTCTGGAGCTGTTACAGACTTAAGGACTCCCCTACGAGGTGAGTGCTTGCCAACACAGGGCAGATTAGTGTAAAACTGCATCCTACTACGCTGGTATGAAAAACGCTGCCAGTGGCAACTTCTCCCTCTGGTCTTAAAAACAAAACGGCTGTAGCAAGCGGCTCTGATAACTGAACAGCCTTCTTGGAAACATGTACTGTCCCTTTAAAAGAAAAGTGGACCGGCTGACTCACAGTGTTGGAGAGGTGAGCTAAGGCCTTGATGTGAAGCAGCTCATCATAGATGATCTCTAGGTCATCCCCTGTCCTCTGACCAGGCCTGCAGACACACACAGAGGTTAGTCAGAATTAACTCACCGCCAATATTTCCTGCACGCACGTCTTATTACGCTGCAGTAAAATTAGTAATGACACATCCTAATGCTAGAATAATGTGATTGAATTATATATAGTATTGTTTTACTACATTTGGTTCAGTATGCCAACTCACTAGCATAATTGGAATATAAAAAAGCAGTAGCAGAGTGGCAGGAAGCGGAAATGGTTAAATAAGTTTTCTTGATGTACTTGAAATACATATATAGTGATTTGAAATGTTTTTCATGTTGCCAGTGTAATATCAGTTAATGCAATTTTATTGGTTGTTACTGACGATTTCCTGAGGATCATGCGTAGTAGTGCATCAGGGCCAATCTGAGCGAGGAAGAGGATGGTCTCTGGCAGCTCTTCCTCACTCTCCCTCTTCTCCTCCTCGCTAGGCAACGGCGTGTCCTCCTCCTCATCATCAAGAAAACGGTAGAACAGGTACTTGTCCTGGAAACCCAGCTCCTGGTCCACTGAGGAGCAGACAAGCACACACGGTCAAAAAGGCACAAGTGTAAACGTTTAAACGCACAAACTGTGGATGCACTGGTGATTTATCAGCAATCGCAGTTGTTTTCTTATCTGAGAACATTGTTTCAGATATCTTCTTTGAGGTGGATGCATTTGAGATTCAATCTATATTTTATATTCTTATTATTTTTTGTTCCTGCTTCAAAACTTCTCATTAATTCTCACACTGGTATTCATACTGAAACTTTCACTGTGATTGATGTTCAGATTTATTAAAAGCACCAAGCTAGAGTCAAGCGGAGACACTTAACTTACACTTTGCCATCAGTATATGGATGTGTGTGAATGGGTGAATGTGACACGTAGTGTAAAGCGTTTTGAGTGGTCAGAAGACTAGAAAGGCGCTGTAAGTGTCTATTTACCAGCTTATTACAACTCGAAATGAAACTGTCAATAGCACTTCATATTACACATAACTATACATTACACAGTAACAGAAAAAAGATAATGTGAAGAAATGAACCCTCCCCTGTCTTCTTTTCTTTTTGTCTGCTTTGGAATAGAAGTTTGAGATTATATGTTAACTGTGCAGTGGATGTGAAAAAATTAACTGAATACAACACGCTCAGAAAGCAACAGAGAAAGACACATTTTTAGTTACCATGGTTGAGCACTCCTTCTTCTAGTAGTGCCTGCCACATCCCGACAGCATGGGACCGTGTGAGAACACAGGCACTCTGCAGCACCAACCAATCCACCAGCTCTGTGCCAACACAGCATTGTCTGCAATACACCCATACCAATTAAATGTTTTCCAAAGCTGTTGAATGCATAATTCTGTTTAAACACTCGTTGTAGACGAACAAACTCTTACCTGTATGTCTTTAGGTGGTACTTCCTGTCTCGAATCATGTGTGGGGCTCTGGACAGGATGGCGTTGCGGAGAACCTTCCCCGCTCTCTGCAGCTTCTCTGAAGGAATCTACACAACACACCAGAGTATTTTGGTGAACTGACTGTGAACTGTAATCCAAGAGTCAATACCTGTCCAATACCTGTGCTGCCTCCAGGCTGCAACATTTATACAGACAAAGGCAAGAGAAACACCAATCTGAGACCACATTCTGAAGAAAATGCCACATTATCAGTTGACCCTGATCATGGGCAAATGCACTTAAATATTTACACAGCGAACTGACTAGAACAATGGCTCGGATTATGGTTGAAATATGGTATGATTTTACACGCTGCAAGGGACACGTGTACTGAATTTAATGCTCGTAACATAGAGTAAAGCCCTATACTGCACTCATACCGGTGAAACTGTATCAAAAACACGCAAACACATCCTATACAGATCACACCTGCACTTTAGAAACTGAGGAAAACGACAGATGTGTACACACACGCACACACAGCTGCTGTAGAAAACAACAAAGCAAGGCATGCTAATTGGGCAGATGGGATCTTTCTTCCTTGTGCATGCATTAGCTAGCATTAGCATAACTACAGAGGATCACAGCTGTGAGTCATCACTTGTCTCTTCTCAGAACAGTCTCACCTCTAAAATTCATTCTGGCACTCTGGTTCATTCACAAACATGAAAGTATGCAGCAGTGCACTTTTATGACACTGTGGTCCAATTTGACTGTATACTCTCTCCACTGTTAACAACATACAGAATGGTGCTTTTGTTTTCTGTAGTACCATTTGATTTCATTCATTCATTGATTCATGCTTTGTGTGCTGCGAGGAAGGGCACAGCTCTCTGCCGTGTTGGCAGAGTTTATTTAAAGGATCAAGTTGCCATGCTGAACTTTTTTTTTATACTTCCAGCACGAATTCAAGACAGACTTTTGGGTTCCAGAGTGAGTGTTTACCTTGTTGTGAGCTTTGTTTGCAGAGTCTGAGTTCATGTTGTCTTTGTCTGTGAGTCCTGAGGAGGAAAAACTGGTCAAATTGAAGTGTTTCACAGGATGCAGATACTTTTCATCCACAAAACATCAAAATACAACCTATTCATTGTGCTATGCATGTTCTACTGCACGACATGTCCCGATAAACATTAGGTGAGACACAAGTATAATATCTTAAAAACAGAAGCAGGAGGGCTTTACAATGACAGGTATGCAATATAGTTTTTATTCCATCAAATAAAAAATAAATAAAGTGCACCTTCGTCTTTATTATACTACATTATATTTTCATTTTGGCGTTTGTTGTTTATCCAAATACAACTTATTATTTTTTATTGTACAGTGTTTTCTTTCATTCTAGTGTGTGTGTGTGTGTGTGTGTGTGTGTGTGTGTGTGTGTGTGTGTGTGTTTGTTTCTACTCACTGTCATTGTTGGATCCACTCTCCATAGCTCCATAAGGAGGGGCCAACAGTCCAGCCAAGCTCTGACGATACTTCTACAAAACAAAACACACACGATTTATGTCTTTAAAACATTTACACCTCTATTATTATTATTGTGATCATGTGTAAGATATCACCATCCATTAAACATCAAAGCCCATCACATTTATTCGTCTCTCTCTATAGCACACACACACACACACACACACACACACGCTCCAAGTGCCCCTCAAAACAAAGCCCTTTGTACAACATTCATTTACATGCAGAACAACTAACATTATATAACACACACACACACACACACACACACACACAAGCAGCAGCATTCAAACCAGGGTTAATGAGAGCAGCTAAAGTTGCTAAACGTGTAGAGATGCTCCTCTTACAGCTGTTACGAACAATAAAATCTGTTTTTCTATATTTCTATAGCAAAGACACTGAAATACACACAGCAGGTCATTTTGAGCTTGAATGTGCCATTGCTCTTCAGCAAGGTCATTACCAAGCAACCTATGCCTTCTGAGGACTGCAAGGAACACACACACACACACACACACACACACACACACACACACACACACACACACACACACACACACACACACACACACACACACACACACACACACACACACACACACACAGCAAAACAACCTCTGGAAGTTTCAAATTGATCATTTGAAAACAACACAAGTTAATAAAAGGAAACATGACAGTGAAACACAATCTAGCCCACATGCCCACCACAGACTACACAGTGTTACAGTCGAGGAGTCAGACTCACCTGAGGTAACACACTCACTCAGCTGCCTAATACTGGAGGGACTGAAACCCCAGAGAGCTGCCCTCTGCTCCTTTACAACTCACACACAAGCCACCGGATAGCATCCTGCTCAAAACAAGCTGCTCTCCTCCTTTCTTTCTCTCTCTCTCTCTCTCTTCCTCTCACACACACAGTCGCCCCAGTCAGTCTCTCTCTCTCTCTCTCTCTCTCTCAGTGTCTCTCTCTCTCTCTAGTGTCTCTCTCTCTCTCTCTCTCTCTCTCTCTCTCTCTCTCTCTCTCTCTCTCTCTCTCTCTCTGTGATCGAGCCAAGAACCAAACCACTTTCTCTCACAGGTTACCACGGTGATCTGAGCTGCCGTATGACTGGGCTATTCTAGTGGAGGAGGAGGAAAGACAGAGAAAGGAAGCACAGGAGGGAAAGAAAGGAGTAGTGAGGGTGAGGATGGAGAGGGAGGAGGGAGAGAAGGAAAGGAAGGCGGCTGGCAAAAGACACAGCACGGCTAATAGAGGAGAGAGGAAGTGGGCAAGAGAAATGTAGAGCAGGTGAAAGGGGCAGAGGAGTAAATAGAAAAAGAAAGAGGAAGGACTTACAATACCAGCCGGCCACAGTTGAGGCCAAACAACCATCTGCTGTTTGATAAACTGTATGTTTACACGTATCTGTTTTACATTTACACCCTGTTTATTCATCTCTCTTTTTCACCTGCTGTAAGGATTATGGAGCAGCGCTTTTTTTTCCTCTTTCATCCTTTCATCAAACACATGACTGCATTTATCCTGTAGCTTTCTAGTCCTCACTACACACAACCACAAGCGCACAAATTAGTCCATGCACAACCCTAACACACACATAAAACACAAAGATCCTTTCACTATGAGCTGAATAAGATTCAAAGGAGGTGAACCCCCGGGCTATGTTTTCTGCTTTATTTCCACTGTCCTAAAATAGACAACAGAGAGGGAGACTGAGTGCACTTAGTTGACAAACAAACACACTGCAGGCTGATAATACGATAGCACACATGCTTTAATAACCAATTATTGTCTGATCTCGCTTTTATATGTTCCTGCATCATAAAATGGTGAGCTCACGTTTCAGTAAATCCAATTTCTATTAATCTAGTCATAATAACAGTCTTTGGGTTGTTTCTATAAATCATAACAATAAGGATTTAATGAATATTTAATACACAGAAAATCTGGATGGATATCTGTCCACTGTCACTCACCAGAGCAGTAATTAAAGCCTCATATACTTTATTTCATCACTGAAAATTAATGTTTCACATTCTGTAGTAGGAATAAAAGCCTGCACTTAAGAGTGCTCCATTGAGTTTTTTGAGTTAAAAAAAAATTTTAAAAATCAATGTAGCGAGATGCCAAGATATTGTCTTTTTTATTCTACGCATTCTTCTTCCTTATCAAACCCAGCGCATACACTACCCACAACTCCTACTGCTGACAGTTTGGTGGGATCCTCAGGTGTATTATGCTTGTAGCAGCTAATGTAGCCCTTGCACGTACCTAGTCTTACTCCCCAGGACCACCTGTAAAATCTCATTTAGAATCTCAAAGAAAACAGGACCATTTGGATTTGCAGGTGGAACATAGGACAATAGAGCCTAACAACAGGTCAGACAGTCTTTGGGTGCTGTGAAGCTACAATAAACTGATCCATTGCTCTGCCAGGACTTCCTCTGTGAGAGTGACCCAGTGAATGGAGAGGGTAACCTCAACAAGGAGGCCCACTGAGAGACCACTACTACAATGCCAGCTCGCAAAGAAGACGCCAGGTCAAAGCCATGTTACTGAGTGCTGATTCCTCCAGGTTGTATGATAAAGTATCCGTTTGCAATATCTGATGTACTTGCTGATTGTTTTTATATTCTGAACATGATTCGTCTAAGTCACTCAATACTACAGTATCATTGGCTTTTTCCCCCCTCTTAGGCGTGGTACACAGTGATGTGTTTTACTGATAGAAGTTAAATCTGCGATATAAAAAATATTAGCCAGCAATATCAATACGCTTACCTATTGTAATGTCCACACATTCCTTTTCATGCTTAATCACAGAGGGAAAGATGATTGCAGCAGCACGTCTTTGCATTTTTATTTGAATAATATCTACTGCAATTGAATCCTATTGATTTCACCAATTTCCTACTGTCATTTACTTTTTGCAATAAATTATTATCTGCATAGAACATTTCAACTCGTCATTTTGGCTCGCCACAGCAAAAAAAGCCCATGTGTAAGTAATTATGTTAATTACTGGAATGAAAGGGAAAGGTACATGAATTGAGCTGTTCATACAGTGACCTGTCAAAATATCCGCTGTGAGAAAGGCAGAGTTTAACAACGTTTTTAACCAAACCATTATGTAAAAGAGAAAAAATTAACTATGTTTACCAGCTTAATGACAATTAGTCAGATCGCCTCAGGACACTATGTATCCTCCTCTTTATCAATCCAATCAGAAAGTGCTGAAATCAATGCAGAGGTACCTGAGCCCAGCACACAGCTGTTTTATTCATAGTGGTGCAAGGACTAATATGCACATATAACACATTCGTATACAGCTCTCGGTGCAATGGTTTGGTGCATCAGCCCTTGTACTGTAAATACTGCACTGAGCCACAGCAAGCTCTGAAAACAATAGAGTACACACATGGGCATGTATTGTACATACACACTCCTCTTTCTCCCTTTTAGTGCCTTTATCAGCTCTTTGTTGGGTGTCACTTGAGGTGTAAATCTAATAGCTGGAACAGAAGGCACTGTTATGGTGGACAGCCCTCTTGTGGTTAAAGACACAATTACAGTGGAAGGTTGTCTGACATTTGCAGTCTCAATAGAGAAACGTTTTCCAAGATGGAAACCTTTAGGTACACTACCAAGACAGAGTTTATGCTGAATCATGAGGTTCATAGCTCATACTGACAGCTAGATATGGTTTTTAAAACTCTATTTGTCTCTCACCTCCCAGAGGCTCTTGAACTCCCTCTGTTCAATTCGGAGAAGCTCGCTGGTCTCTCTGCTGACAATGGTAGCGTGGCGTGGCGTGTTGTCCAGGATGGACTCCCCGAACGCTGTCCCGATCCCCAGTGTACAGATAGTGACTGCATCCTGCACACAAACACAATATATTTGTTTTATACTACTGCAAGTTTTTGCGTTCATTTATGTTGGATACTATCAAGTCGTATTCTCTTGCTTTGTTTTGTTTTTCTTAAATGAAAATGTATAATGCATTCTCATGTCCTACATATTGAAACCCTTCTTTAATAAAACACACATAAAGCATAAACAAGAGAACGTTTGGATTTCTTCTTTTAAAAACAACAAAAATGATTAATTAATTATCAAAATAGTTGTGGATTTTCTGTCCATCGACTAATTGTGGCAGCCTTAGACACCTCACAGCAGTAGCAAAAAGATATATCCAAAGGTTTGCTTAACATAAATAGACAGATATGAAGAGCAGACAGATTATTATATGGTAATTTATGCAAATAAATTCAAATATGAACGACTAGTAAACGGAGTCTCCTGTAAGGAAAATATCTCTGGGTGCTGCTGGATATAATTGGACAGGCTAGAGGCTAGCAAACACACATACACATGCACGCGCACCAGCCACTGATTTAGACAAATATTCTGCATGCTATGGAAACCCTGTCCAAACTGACATTTCGAATATAACAGAAAGTAGGCCACGAATGGCACTTTAGGGCTACATACATAAAAAGGACGTTTCACAATGGAGGGGCTTCTTATCTCCTTCTTTAACTGGGAACAAATCCTTTCTCTATCCCTCTCCCTCTCTCTCTCTCTCTCTCTCTCTCTCTCTCTCTCACTCTCATTTTTATCCTCTATATGTGCAGTTAACCCTATTTCCACACTCTGGCATACAGAGACAAAAACAAGTAGCGGAAAGCACAGTTCTCAGAGGACTTGTTTTCTGTGCTGTGGCAGCTTTGCTCTAGCATATTTAAGCTGGGAGACATGAGCTAATGTACAAGAACAATGTCAGCATTGAGGAGAATCATACAGGACCAGCTCTCTAACATGAGGGGCACTTGTAAATCAGCCTGGATCTTGACAGAGAAGGTTATGGTGAAAAATAGTACAAGAGGGAGTAGGAAAATAACGCATCTTACAGAATAAACCCCAGAGTTCATTATTCATTCATTCATTCATTTGTGATTCAAATGATTTACAGGAAACACAGAACAGACACACAGCAGCAGCAGAAGTAAAACTAAGCAAGTTATTGTATATGAAGCTCTAATCTGAGTTGAACTTTATCTCACCTGATGGTTGGCAGTTTCTGACACTTTCACATCCAGAGAGCCAGACAGGACAGCGTACCAGCTGGTGCCAATGTCCCCCTGTCGAAACACTGCAGGCAGTAAAACACATTAAACGCTGTCTAAAAAACATTTTACTAAGCAGAAATCCATAAAAAAAAAAAAACGTATGTCACCACTCCATAACATGATATCACAATCAATGCTGTTTAAGAAGCATTTGTCCAACTGACGATTACATTCTTTAGCTCCAGGAGATGAAACAACATCCTTGTTTTTGCTGTGACACAAATCCAAAAAGGTCCTCAATGTTAGTATGCTGACATGAGTTTATTTATTGATAATCTGATCAAAAAACAATATTAGAAATCATGTATTACACACATTCACTGCCACACTTTTTTTTTAACGTCAGTGTCTGGATTTGAAGCTTTTCTCTCTTTTATATGAGTGTAAATATCTATAGAATATTTAAACGAAACAATTAAAAACCTCAGCTTGAGCTCTGATATTTTCATGGCATTTTCAGAATTTCTTGGGAAATTATTTTAAAAGTAATTGACAGCAATAATCATTTAATTGTAGCCATTAAAAGGCTTCTCCAGGAAAGTCATCAAATGTGCTACATGTACATCCCACAAATGAGTTGAAAAAGGCTTGCATAATTTGTATATGGATAACATGAATTTAAATGATCACAGTACTTTGCATTCCAATGCATCATACTTCAAACAGTGAAGGGATCTTCTGCAGCCCGACTGTCATATAATACCAAACACTATATATACTGTATAATGATGTTTCACTGCAGAGTGCTAGTCTGAGCCTGAAGCCTCAGAAGCATCTATTGTTGTACATAACCAACACAACAGCTATGTCTGTGTGCGTGTGTGTGCTGTGTGTGTGTGTGTGTGTGTGTGTGCGCACAAGTACGTACATGTGATGCCTTTCTCCAGACATTCGTAGAAGGCACAGGCACAGATCTGCAGTAAGAGCGGCGGTGGGAACCTATGGAAGGCTTTGACCTCTCTCAGTCTGGTCAATATAATGTCCACATCCTCTCCTGAGCGCTCCGAAGGCCTGTGCACAAAAAGAACCACTCATTAATTCTAACATTAGCTGTTTAAGAACCATATCAGTGTTTTTTTTACGTTTTGGCCTATCAACTGCAAAACTATTTTATACAAAATGATAAACTGCATGATGTAACTAGCTCACAGTGATGGATTATCTATCTCAAGTGAGTCCATTTCTGCATGGAGGGTAAGAAAATCAATCAAAAACCTGCAGTACACTTTGGAAAGTGGTTGGCAGTGATGTTAAATACTCGTAATTAGCAGTTAATGGACTAAAACATGAAAAATCAGTGGTATTGTCCTTTAAGATAAAAGGCAGCTCTAATGTTTTGCTGTTATCTATGTATTTGTGTGTACGTGTATGTGTGTGTGTGTTTGTGTGAGCGCACAGCTTCATTGTTCGGCCTGGAGTCTCTGCGATAACAGTGGAGTGCTGCAGGCGTTACTTCTCTCGGCTCAGACCCCCCACAGGGTGTTGATGCAAGATCTCATTTGTACTGCTGCTATTTCTAATACGCTTAAATCTTAGCGCGCATGCGAACACACACGCACACACACACGCGCACACACACACGCACACACACACACACACACACACACACACACACACACACACACACACACGCCACTGTTGGACCTCTACACCTCACACAGACATGAGAACACACAGAAGTTTGATCTGAGAGCTTAAACCTTCTGCTATGCAATGTGGTGATGAAAAACTACAAAGCCAAAACCTCTTAGAGTAACACACACTGCAGTTAGCCCCATTCATTCACTTATTTTCCTTTTGCTAGTGACTCATCCTTGCACGTGTGTGTGTGTGTGTGTGTGTGTGTGTGTGTGTGTGTGTGTGTGTGTGTGTTCATACAGAATAGCTAATGCACTGTGGGCTTCTTCCTTCACAGACGAGAGGCTGTCTATCCCCTCTCCTCCTTCAGCTCCTTCCTCTTCTCCTTCCCTCGCTCCCAGCTCTCTCTTCTCCACTGCCTCCACTAAATATTTCTCATCTCCATCTATTTTTTCTCCTCTCTCAAGACTTGCCTCTTTCTCTAAGGAACATGATAGGCAAGTTCAAAAAAGAACAAATGCCTCCTCTTCTTCTTTACGCTATCCATTTTCTCCTCTCTGTTACTGGCACGTTTCCCTCCATCTATCAAGTCCCACCACTAACGCACCCGCCCTCACCATCATCCCATTATTATCCTTTTATTTCTGCTTTGCAAGCTCACAGGCAGCAATGACTCCCCCTTTTACCCTCACGCACATGTTCATACAGGGATAAACACACACATATTTGTGTCCCCGAGCTGTAGCGGATTGTCCTCCGTACCCGGGACGGTACTCCCTGATAAACACAGACTTAGCCTAAAGGGCTGCACTGCACAACACATATTCCAGTCCCACAACATCTGCCACGCACTCAGGGCTATTACAGACGGGTCTTTTCTTTCTCTCTGTCTTTTTAGCCCCTTTTTTTGTCTCTGACTCATCCTCCCATCATCCTCCCACTGCCTGCGTATTGGCCCTTGGTGCTCCGATAGAGCGTCATATCCCAGCGTAGGCTGGGTTAATGGTTTAGACAGGTGGACTCCCACACACTGCAACAGAGAGACACGGGGAGGTTAACTCTGCAGGGTTGAATGGGTAATACCAGTGTCACCCTTCACCTATCCGTCTACAGCGAAACTGTTAAGATCTGTCAGTTATAATCCCCTGGTTAAGTCCTTGTTCCATCAGTCTTTCTCTCTTCTGTTGTCCTGTGCTTGCTCGCTCCCTGCCTGTCCAGTGGAATTTGTTTCTCTCCCATTGGTGTGAGACGGATGTGACCTGAGAGCTGCTCACCTTGTCTTACTCTCCCCTCCGTCCCCCTTTTCTCTCTTTCTTGACTTCTCCCTTCCTCAGCCTCAACCCCACTGTTCATGTCAGCAGAGATCTCCGCTTTCAACCACCAATTATGGCTACGTAAACACACACACAGGATTTACAAATAGGCCGGCATAACACACTGAACAGAAAATCGAGAGACACCAGAAGGTTCTGCAGATTGTTTTAGAAAACATCCATCTGGAAAAATTCTGTGTTTCCAGACAAAATAAATCATAGGTTGATTCGTGGCAGCCAACCAAAATGTCAGACAGCCTCAACACAAACAGATTCCCCGAGCTGGCAGATAAACGCGTTACTGTAGCAGAGAGACTCTAGAATTGTACGTACGCAGCTCTTCAGACACCCATCTGCATCACTGCTAACAACCTGAGATCTTGTTAGAAACACTGCCTATTAATCAGCATAAACACCGCTTAGTTTACAATTCATCATTGAAAGATTACTCATAAAAATAATTACCCATCTACCCTCGTCATATCAGCAAAGTAACCTACGTATGAATGAGACAATAGGTTTAACTTAGAAGACTTTTTCTTGCTTTGGCCTTAGACTTACAGAGTCACAGTGCTCTGTGCTTCTAATTTGATGACATTAAACTTCAACTGGCATCTGGATGTCGCTGTTTGTGTGTTGACTGGACTGTCTATTACCTGCCCGGGGCAACACTGAACTAAACAAATCTGATCTTATCTCACATACTTCACACTCACTGGCAATAAATGTCTGTGGACAGATATATTAGAGACAGTCGTATCTTAACCTCTGTCTTTCTTTTACCTTACCCCCCTTCCCCGCCTCTCACTCTTCCCACATCAACACTTACTGTGTAGATGAAAGCTCACAAATACACACAAACACACACAAACACACACACACACAAAACACACACACACACACACACACACACACACACACACACACACTGTGCTGGATATTGATTGTATAAGAAGGTGCATAGCTGAGGAGCACTGAGTGCTCTACAATAAGATCCTGTCCAGTCTAATATAACAACCCAGGCTGCCCTTACTGACACCCGCCTACTACTGCATACAAACATTTAGTGTGACGCCTTGATTCCACTGGGGACAGCTCCATGATACTGCATCTGTGACACATTTTTGCTCCATCCTCATACAGCAATGTGCTGTTTAGTGGTTGCTTCTTTCATTATTGTCAACACCAGATTAGACAATGATTGTAAAAATCTTCTTTCACAATGATTTTATATCATATTTTACCCAATTTTCCACATTTAACAATAACTTAACAACAAATTACACTAATTAATAGTCAAACAGTTTAACAACTAATCAATTAGTCAATCAACAGAAGATATATTATTTTTTAAAGCAACAATTACGCACAAATTTAGTGGCTCCAGCTTCTTAAAAGTGAATATTTGGTGGATTTTAACTATAGGAAATTGAATATTATTGGGTTTTCAACTGTCGGACAAAACAAAGAAATGTGAAGATGACACCTCAGACTCTGGAAAATCATGGACGTTTTTCACCATTTTCTTTTATAGAATACAATAGAAAACAGTCATCAGATTAATTAGTTACAGCCCTACACAACAGCATGTTCTGTTTAGATCATGCTCCCAGTCTTATTACAGGTGAGGAAGAGGAGACAAGATGGTAGCTTCAGGTTGCCAATGGTAACATGAGGATGTGTCATAGTGAGGTGTGTACACTATGTGTGGGTGTATGAGCTGTGGGGTGCATGTCTTATATGTCATTGTTTTAGGTGTGAGGTGTATCATCTACAGTAATTAGTCCATAAGCTGCCATTTCATCTTGTTTATTTATTTAAGCCCTCTCCCTTGGATACTATGCCTTTTTTTGGCACAGTAGGCTTGCAGCATGACACCTTACATGTGAACTGGTCAGATACAGCATGGACTAAAAGCTTCTCTGAACACTGCAGCTTCTGGATTGTGAAATGAGGATGAGAGATAACATATTGGCAAATTGGCAGTTCAGTTATTCTAACCAGACAAATACAGCTTCACATGCAGCATTGTGGCCAAAAAACTGACCTGCCTCTACTCCACATTTCGAGTAAATGACTAACATGCAAGCCTTGGTAGTATTTTAAAAATGTATGGCTATTTGATTTAAGCCTACAGACATAAACCATGTGCGTCTTATCAGCCACCTATCACAGCTCATGCAGTGCAGAGACAGCCCAGTGTCAGACCCCCGAAGCCACCAACGCCTTTTTGACCGAGCGGACACAAACACAGGATTAGTTGTTGTTTTTTCTGTGTATATTGTTATTCACAGCAGCCTTTACCATCACTGGGCGAGGGCTGCACATTCACTGCAAATGACAGTAACCTATAGTACGCTAAAAACGAGGCGTATCACGCTATTATTTGCACACTCACACACTGCACACGCAGCGATCGCCGGTTGCGATTAATCACGTTGGTGAATGAAAGAGCTGAGAAAACACAATCATCGCCGTGTGCGTGGGGATGCGCGGCGTGGAAGCGTCTCGTGGAGTCTTGTCTGTGTTGTTCACCCACCTTTTATCCAGGCAGCAGATCCACTCCGCCGACGGAGACGAGTTGGGGGACGTCTGCACCGCGACCATCTTCCCCGGCCGTGTGTCGGTGGACGCTGCGATGCTACCGGAGGGAGGCTTCCCGGTTTGTCGGTGGTCGTTAATGGATGTGAGCTCCGGCTGCGCCCCCTCCCCGCCCCTCTGCTTCGAGCTGCCTCACACAACTACAGACTGCTGCTGCTGCTGCTGCTGCCGCCTTCATCATGGCATGCAGATGACTTGTGTCAGGCTGTCTTAATGGGCTTTTTGTAGGGCAACTGGAGGGCTCACAGACAACAGCATGACAGACAGTGCAGTGCTTGGAGACATAATTAAACATTATGATGGAATATATTACAGCAACATGTCAGTTGTTTGCCTACTATAGGACAAATGATGCTTGGAAGTAGAGTTTAGGACTACTGTTGTGTCCAGTAAGTGATCACATTTGAGGAAGGCAATATCAACAGACTGAAATATATTTGATCAAATGTGTCAATATCAATAATATGACAATATTCTGGACATGAAACTACAGGTGCTTTCAACTGACATTTATACCAGTGGTGTGCATATGGGTGGGGATGGGGCAGGTGAGCATGTCATCGGGTCAGCCTAAATGCCCCTCTGCTCCAGTGTGAAGTTAAACATCAAACAAAGCAGCTAAATAGGATGCTACAGAGTACAGAGGAACATAAACAACCCGAGGGGCTTGTCTCACTAAAGTGATTTGTGAGCAGTGATTACAAGCCAATCCCAAAGTCTTATATGACATATATGACTGTCACTTGCAAAGTACAGATACATTTGCCTACAGGGCTCTTCTCAAGCCTGAATTTTTTGTATGGCGTTTGATTTGATCAGTGAAACATCCAAATTAACAAGCAAGGAAATTGTTGCAAATTGTATGTTGTAAATTTGCTGAAATAGGCACCCACTATCCACATCTTCTCTAACGTCCTGGTAGGACCAAAAAGTTGTTTTTACATAACTCTGGGGATTCTTGAAATCGCTGTGTATGTGAGGTCAAAGTTCAACTAAGCTGCAAAAATCAGAGCAGTGCACACCACAGTGAAAGCAGGGCATCTCTGCATGCAGAAGAAAAGCATCTTTTTCTATCTTCACTTCAGGCAGCATGAAATTGGCATGCACATTCTCCCATATTTGCATACAGTTACAAATGTCTATATACCCCCTTCTAGACATTTTTAACATTATGCAAATATGGGAGGATTTGGTCAGGAAGTAGAAAAGGGATTTAGCAAAAAACGAAGAGAAGAATAAGTGTAGAGTGGTTGTATTTTCCTAATTATAGAAGTAATGGCTCTTCAGATTGGCCCTCAATTCAAGGCTGAGTCTGAGGCTATTTATGTACACTATGCTTTGTAACAATTGTTTACAGGCTTAATACGTTGCAAGCACATTGCAACAAGCAGGATGTAGCAGAGACGGCTACATTTTTCTGTCTGTCCACACTACTGATTTAAACCCATATGATCATTATTATTTGGATATGATGACCAGCAGGACAGGAACTAAATAACTAGTTGAGAAAATGGTGTCACTTAATGTTACTGCAGACTTAAGAATAAGAAAAAGACAACCAAGATATGTGGTTTCCTATCAAATCAATATTTATTCATTCATGACTGTATCACAATATGTTGCTTTTATCTTCAAAGTATCATAATGATCAGCAGGATAGCATTAACTGTATATGAACACTGCATCTGTATACAGAGGCTTTGATGTGCCTAAATAAAGATCTGTGCAAGATGCTGTGGCCTTGAAGGATGCCTCGTGTGAAATGGTGCAACAAAGCAAAGTAACATTAGTTTCACTTGTTTTGTTTCAACCCAAGTGAAGAGAGGGCGGCGGCGGCGGCAGCAGCAGCAGAGATGCAGGCTGTTACCAGGATGACCGCAGCCACCGCAGCAAAGGGAGGAAGGGAGGAAGGGAGTGATGGAGGGAGGGAGGGAGGGGTGGATGGTGAGGAGCAAGGAGGCTTTGAGCATTCAGCACTGCCTAAAACCATAACTTATGTCCCATTCATACTCTATGGGACAACAGGAAGACGGTAACAGACAGAGGAGGGAGAACATATGACATAAGAGGAATTTCTGGGATTTACTCTGCGTTCTCTGGAAAAGCATGGGGGGTCAGAAAGAAAGAGGAGGGCAGGGGACATGATCAATGAGACACAAGGGAAGGCAGGAGAATTACTGTCGCATCGCAAACCTCTCCAACTTAGACCCTCTTTTTCTTCCTTTATCCTGTGTTGTTAAAGACATTAGTTCTACTGCATCAGGTGAATTACAATGTGTGAATGTGTGCACCTGTTGCAACTGTGTGTGTGAGTGTGTGTGTGTGTGTGTGTGTGTGTGTCTCAATGTTCACGCTTGCCTTGCTGCATCTGTCTGACATGGCCCTTCAACACGCTTGACTGTAATACTGGAGGGTGATTGGGCAAGTTTTCACCATTATGTTAAAAGGAAGTGTGTGTGTGTGTGTGTGTGTGTGTGTGTGTGTGTGTGTGTGTGTGTGTGTGTGTGTGTCAGTCCAGCTGCTTCAGAATTAGTGATGTTCTATTTTTAAGATATGGAGGAAATGACTATGAAGAAGAATATGAGTGCATCAGTTCATGAACACACTGAAAATAAGTTTCCACTTAATTAAAAAATATATATTTGTTAAATCTAGAAAACCTCAAATGTTGATTTTATCAAACAATTTGTATGTCTTTCTGAAACTGAAGTTGTCTTTTTGACTTTGTCTTGTAATAAATGTCACTCATCTACCTCCATCTACTGCACTAAATACGAAAAAAGCACAATTGTATGTAAATCTGAGGCCTTTGCAGGACAAAAGTATATCTACAGAAGCACATCACAGTATGATGAAGATCAGTTTTTATCATGTTTGACCCTGGTGAGAATTATATCCATAACTCTGTCAGTGTTAGTGCCAAGCTCTACATATCCATCTACACAGAATTATATCATTATTTATATCATTATTACTGATGCTGTTAAAACAATGTATGTGCAGTACACACATATAGACACAAAGTGGCAGTATCATTGTTTATGGATTCATAGATGCACCAACACGAGCTATAAAAACTGCAGTTTAAGGGCCACGTCAGACTGATTCACAGCGCCGTAACTGTGCAGAGCTGCAGAACTGCTATATTGTGCTGACCTGTGTGTTCAACCAGCAGAGAGAGAGAGAGAGAGGGTGTGTGTGTGTGTGTGTGTGTGTGTGTGTCTGCATTTAAATGTTCAGAGGATTGAGTGTAATTCCCTCGCAAAGCTGGGAAACTCTAAACATGGTTGACTGAACAGATAACCATATGGGGTATGAAAGTGTGCCAAATGCAGCCTACATGACACACACACACACACACACACACACACACACACACACACACACACACACACACACACACACACACACACACACACAGAGAGTCAGCTGTCAGACAGTATCTCAGTCTAAAGAAAGCATCTGTCCTTTCCACCTAATTTGACTCTTTAGATTAACACTGTTTAATGTGGTAACAGTTCATTAAAGCTGCTGTAATTAGTACCACAGCCACACAGATTTTAGAATCTTATCAAAGAATCATGACAAAGATATGATGTCCTCTGTGGGACATTTTACAGTTATTATTATTATTATTTAATGCTCGCTGGTGGACAAACTATGGCAAACTAATGGGGACCACTGATGCTGGAATAGGGGCCAGGTTGGAAAGCAATGGAAAAACTGGCATGGCTATTTTCAAAGGGAATCCCTTGACCTCTGACCTCAAGATATCTGAATGAAATTGGGTTCTATGGGTACCCACAAGTCTCTACTTTACAAACATGCCCACTTTATGCTAATCCCATGCAGTTTTGGGTAAAAACCATGACGTTTTTTGCAGTTATACTGACTATTTCTGTATACTGGGGAGCCATAAACAATATTGGAATTGCATAAACTGGGTATTACTGGAAAGCTCAAACTCCTATGGATTCAATAAGCACAACCATATTCATGTATGATGATGTTCTTCCCCATAGTAGCCATTTCATTATAATGAAAAACAAAAAAAAACTAGAGACAGAGGGCATTCAAAGGATTGACATATGTTATGATTCATTAGTGGGATTGATCATTTTAGCATCACAATTTTCATTTTTACGGGAATAAAAATATAAAAATCATGATGATGGGACATCTGTTGGGGTCTATACCAAACAAACGCGTTTTCTTACATCTGTAGAACAAGATTTGTAGGTCAGGGCATCTCTGCAGTTCTACCTGACTTCGTCATATTGCTGTTTTGTCACATGCTGGATACTGCTCTTGGCAATATTGAGATTTCAATGATGTTTTGATTAATTGTGCAGCCCTGATGACAAAGTTTACTAGTGTATTACATCATCCAAAGTTAAACTCACCCCTGTTTGAAACTCACTCTGGCACCACTGCACTAATCTCAAACATGTTTGGCTACTGCAGTTTGTTACTTATCAGCTGATATAAACCCAATACTGATATACAGTATCTGTGAAAAGGCGATATAAGCCAATATATTGGTGACGGTCTAATAAAATCAAGAGGGAGGGCAAAGAAAATGTGCCGACGTGTCATAAATCTGTCCTCTAGCTTTGTGTAAAAGCCACTGACACTGATTTGTTAGCACATGCCGCCATTATCCCTTCACCTGCTCAATCATCATCATCATCATCATCCAGCTCAACACTATGACTACGACTGTGTGCGCGTGAAGACATGAATGTCATCATCCCCATTTTAATTTTTTTTTTTACCCTTAGGAGAGCATGAGGAGGGAAGAACATCAACTTCTGTTGAAGTCAAGGTGACCTGCTGCTGGTGAGAGAAATGGGAGTTGAGGATTATGTCAGCACACACAGATCCCTGTATTTCTCATCTCACCAGCCGTCAATTAGAAATACCACCGCTGAGATAAATAGAAGGGATTTGTTATTATTCCTCAGCAGCACCACAACTGTAATTTACTTTTTTATCCACCTGTACTGCTGAATTCATATGACTGCCCTCCCCCCCTGAGTTTCACATTTCCCTTCTACAAATCCAGGTTAAATTCCTGTCTCCATCTCCTCTGCCACACTCACTTTTTCGCAGCCTATACCTCTCTAAATTTACTCTGCCACCCACCCTGACATCACTCCATCATTTTCCATCTCTACTTCAATTCACGTTCCCTCCCTCCTCTCCCTCCTTTTGGCTAGCCTCATTCAGAATAAGGCTTTTGTGATTGGCTAGTATTTATATCAACTAGGTCCCGGTGCCACCTGGGACAATGGTCTCCAGTCAGATCCAGGTCACAGCAGGCAGAACCATTCTTCGGCTCTGCGTGGATCAGTCCAATCCAGTCAAAGTCCAGTCCAGTCCATCTGCCACACGAGCCAGCATCACAGACAGACATAGCTACGCACTGGCATCACACACACACACACACACACACACACACACACACACACACACACAGACAGGTAGGTAGGCACACACACGTACATCAGCAGGTGCTGCATCACTGCTCTCGTTTGTCTCACACACACACACACAGACAGGTAGATAGTGGGAGATCTGGCTGACTGCACTAACCTGCATCATGCACACAGGTGAATATCCACACAAAGCTTACCTCTGAGCCCAGGAGAGCCTCTGTTACAAGTGATATCGGTTTTCACAGCGGATGACAGCACTGGCACTGATCATGAAAGACAGGTAAAGGTAAGTGCACGTAGCAATAACCTGCATTTTTTATAGCAATGTAAGATACTAAAGTAGAGTGTAAGTACAGTAGGATATGGGATGCCAAAATGTAAATGACTGGCCATTATGAAGAGACAAAGCAATAAAAGCAGTACCTCTTATGATAGATGGCATTATCTTAGCCTCCTCACTTACTAACGTTACACATGCTTATTTAACCCAATGGCAATACTTTGACAGGCTGAAGTGAGCAGTGACCAAGACTTAGTGTAGTGTAAATGGATCAATTATAGGGCACACATGTAACAATTGGCCCCTCCAAATGTAGGCTAACTTGCCCCAGTGCTGGTACCCACCTCACCGTCAGTGTTTCACAGTTACTGGAGTAGTTTACACAGGATTACCGGGGGATAATCCATTTACAGTATTTAGAGACATGAGTCGCCATCTGTCTCTATTTATCACAGCGAGGGAGCCGTCAGCGCCGGCTGACTGCAAACAAACGTTTCTACGGTAAGACGAAGCTGCCTGACATAGTGTACGAACAATGGTAAGAACATGCTCCATAGCTACTGTTGGTATAACTTATTGGTCGGGTGTTGAGCTCGGTTGACCGTTGGTTGTTACTCCGGTTGAACCCAACGTTTAACTGCGCGCGCACTCCGGCCAGGTTGGTGAGATTTGCTGCCTTCAAATGCAGTCGTAAACCCCTGTATCAACTATAACCAGTGCCGTGTGGAAGTTTTATTCGCAGTTAGCGTCGAGGCTAATGGCACAAATGTTTATTTTTAGACCCCGAGGAAGACAGGACTAACGTTATGGTGTACTGTAGGGTGCACAGTGAGGAGAGGACAAAACACACCAGGAATGAAATTGAGGTTAAGTTACGCTAATTAACTTAGCAAGTTGAATAAACAGAAATGAAACGTGCAGTTCTCCAATTTGACGCATAATGCCAATTCACCCTGACTAAAATGAATTGAAATATTAGCATTTTCCCCGGAGATATTTACCACGCCGCTGTGCGCTCAATCCGCACATTTTCCGACAGCACGCGAAGGCAGCGGTTGTCCAGAGGACTTCACTGCTCCAGCAAACAAATTAACTGTAAGTAGCTGTAAGATAAACGACTGATGGCTACGCTTTTATCTTATTTGTGACGGTGCTGACAATCGCTAATCCTCCAGTTTCGCAGTAAGTGTGAGTAGTCATCTTGAAAAGTGATGATATTGATTGAAGCATTGACCGGTGTTAGTCAAGTGTAACGCTATTTGGTAGTTTATCTCTGCAGTAATTTGCGTTAATGACCCGCTGCGTTGTGCCAGTTCACTTCAATGAATTAGGCTTTGCCTTTTCTCAAACCACACTTCCAGGAGACTCTTGCTGTGAGTTAATATCTGAAGACCACCTGTTCACAATGAAGTTTCCAGACCAAGAGCCTGCTTTTGTCACCTGCTGTCATCAAACAAACGCAGCAACCTCTTAAAACACCAGCTCTTCTACCCAGCATATTTATTGCCTTATTGCTGCCATTCCACTGTACCAGCAAATCCTCAAACGTTATCTACCTGCTAGACACTTGCCCAGGTGCTTCACTAGCTGTGAAAAGCTTCCTCCTCAGCTCCTCCACAGTTTTCTTTTTCCCTTCAGAGAACCTCCATTCCCAAATGATGCGGACGGACAGCAAAGGCCGAAGTGCCTCCCCACACAGGATAACCTACAAGTCTGACTTCCACGCCATCAAGTGCTCATTTGACACTGGGAGCAGCCTACAACCAGGGACCAAAGCTTCTGCTGCCCAACGCTCTGCTGTTCACCCAACCAGGCTGCCAACCAGCCTGTCTGATCCTATGATGTCTCACACCAGCACCAGCGCCAGCGCCAGCACAGGCAGCAGAGGGAGGGTTCACAGCACCAGGGGGACCAAGATCAGAGACAACATCTTCTTGCAAATGGACAGCCAGCAGCTGAAACAAGATGGTGGTTCGGTGCAAAGTTCTGGCTCCACACCCCTCCTTCCTCCACGTAATCCTAGTCCACAGCTCCAAACTTCACCTTTCTCTGGATCCAGACGCTCAGTCGTCACTTCCTCATCTGTTCTGAGCACCGTGGCCAACATTTCTCCTCCAGAATCTTCTCTGCAAGATAAACCGTGCAGATCGGAGGAGATAGTGGACATCGACAGAGCTGCTCTGGCTCAGAAGTTCTCTGTAACCCGGAGGTTGTTTGAGACCAAGGTGATGGAGGTTGAAGGTGGCGGTGGGCAGGTTTCAAAAGGAGGCAAGGGGATGGCAGATGGGGAAGAAGAAGAAGAAGAAGAGGGGGGAGAAGGTCAGATGGAAGAAGAGGAAGAGACAAGTGGGAAATTGAAGCATACAGAGAAGGATAGCGTTGATGAAGACAGATCCATAAACCTGCCCATCATAAATATTTCTTTGCCAAAGCCGCCAGACCAGGCCTCACTGACAAGGCCCTCTAAATCTCTTGTATCAGATGGCCCCGGTGAAGCGTCCAACACATCTCCCTCCTTTCCTGACAAACATGGTCAAACAGGATCACAAACAGAGGGAAAAAGGGCAGAAAGCACAACTCTCAACCTCTGTTTGACCCCTGAGCAACCAGTGAGAGCAGAACTAGTTGACGTGAAGAACGAGTCGTCAGAGAGCGATGAGAATGAAGAAGAAAAGGAGCGGAGGGAGGCCAGAAAGTGGCTTAAGGACGAGAGGGAAAAGCATATGAACAAAGTTGCAGGAGAGAGAGTGCAGGACCTCGTGGATGATGTTTTTGTAGAGTCCGGTGCTGAAACCATGCCACATACGCTGGAAAACGGAGTGGAACTAAGAGCACGAGACGGTGGGCCAGTTGTTCCCTCAGAAGAGCACCAGAAGGAGTTATCAGCCAGCATGTCATGTAAAAGAGAGACTACGGATGATGGGGAAGGTGGAAGAGACAAGTATCAGCAGGTGAATGAACAATGGGAGGGGCAGAGCAGACAGTTCACTGCACAGGTTGAGAAATCGACAGGAACGGGAGACTACAGGGAGAAAAAGACACATGCAGGAGTGAAAGAGGGAGGCATGATGCAAGAGGAGGACATTGACGAGGACGTTGAGTCATACAGTGTGGGAAAGAGGAAAGGTGGAGTAGAGGAATGCAAACAAAGTCAAGAGAAGGAAAGAACTGAATCCAAGCTGCAAGAGAAGCGTGCCAACGAGGTGGTCAAGCATGAGGAGTGCAGAGAGGGCAGCGATGGAAAACACGATGCAGGAAGAGGTGAAGAGGACCAGACAGGAGCTGCAGTTATCTGTGGGATTGAGAACGAGGCCTTCGTGGACGAGCAGGAATCCCACCCTCACCCAGAGCATTCACCAGGACAGGAATGGGAAAACTCCCAACAACAGCTTTTATTGGAATATGAGGAAATTCCCGGCGTGCCTGAAGTGGCTGATCAGGAGGATGAGGATGAGGATACAGTGGAAGTTGAAAGGAAGAGAAAGGTCAGGTTCTCCTCAGCGCCAATCAAGGTAAGGAAACCTCACACATATTTGGGCTTTCAGCATTCATTTCTCGTTTTACAGCCAGCTGCAGGGTAACTTTTCTCTAAATTCATGCACTTACAGAAGCTCTTTATTGTAGATTTGCATGACTGTCGGTTAAAGCTGGTGAATCCATATAGGAGATGTGATAGCCCAGAGCCATGTTTCTAATCCATTCGAGGAGGAGGAGGAAAAGCAAGACCTCACATGCTTCATGCTGTCAGCTCAGAGTTCCTTTCATATAAAAGCACAGAAAACATTCCTGTGGGTGTGTACGGCAATAATCTGGCTCAATTCATAACTAACTTTTGTTTGTTAGTAGTCAGTGCAATACTTGACACATGGAAGTTGTGTGTGTGTGTTTGTATGGTGAACACACGTGCCAGCTGTCAATGCATAAAACAGTATTTTAAGTAGCTCTAAATCTGACGTCGGTGTTGACATAAGTTAAGGCTGTTGCAGTGATTTAAACCGTAATATTGAACGCTGTTTTTCAGGTGTACTGCACTTATTCCAATGCAGAGTACGACAGACACAATGAGGATATTGACCCTGTGTCTGCCTCGGCTGAGTATGAGCTGGAGAAGAGAGTAGACAGGATGGATGTCTTTCCAGTGGAGATAGAAAAGGGTGTGTATCTCCATCTGTTGAGCTGCTCTTTCCCACATCTGTCTTCATTTCTGTTTGTCTCTTTGGTGTCCATGTGTGTTTCAGAGCAAAGAAAGAAAAGAAAAGAATCATGGAAAACTTTATTTGTGGCATAGCTCTGAGACAGTGGTTGGGTTAGATAAATAATTTATATGACTACTGTTGTTGTTGACTAATATCTTTTCTTAGGAGACGAGGGTCTGGGCATCAGTATCATAGGAATGGGTGTAGGAGCTGACCAGGGACTGGAAAAACTGGGAATCTTTGTCAAGACAGTCACTGAAGGAGGAGCAACACAAATGGATGGAAGGTACATCAGCATCAGCCTCTTGTTTACTGAGTCCCCAGTGTGGCTCTAATAACATGGGATTGTCTTGTGTGTGTGTGTGTGTGTGTGTGTGTGTGTGTGTGTGTGTGTGTGTGTGTGTGTGTGTGTGTAGGATTCATGTGAATGACCAGATAGTGGAGGTGGACGGGGTGAGTTTGGTTGGAGTCTCCCAGCTGTTTGCAGCCACAGTCCTCAAGAATACATCGGGCCTCGTCAAGTAAGTTGGCATGTGTCAGTGCAGTGTTGGTGGTGCTGTGGTGTCTTTCCCCATTATTTGTATGAATCGCTGCTATTTTGGGAGAGTGTAAATTCTCATTAGCAATGTGGAGGCGAGGTATTGCAGTGCATTTTTGTCCATGTATCTGATTTGTCGGTTAAAAACAACAGTCTGACTTCTAAATGTTTGTTACAGGGTTGAAGTTATTTAAAGATGAAACAGAGGTGGCAAGATAAATATATATTTTCTCCTCCAGGATGTTTTTAAAGGGCCACAAGGATGTTTTAGCCCACACATCTTATATAGTATTTTCTCAAGCATATAATCGTGTTTAAAATTGTGCACCAGCTTTTTCAGAAAATTGAGGTTGTAGGTTCAGATGCCAATAAATCTTTTAATTAACTTAAATTACTCTTCATGACACCCACATGAGCTTTTTATTTGTCCTCTGAAAAAGATTTTTTTCCAAAATAGTTTTTAAAGCAATAAAACTTGTGCATGGGATGCTTTTAAGCAACACCTCCAAAATGTGAGATGTTAGTGTTTGCCTTAGTGTGCAAAGACAACACAATGCAACAACTAGAGGGACTTTGTGTTGCAGAAAAATGTCACAGTAGGAAAAGCATTAATATTTAAACAGGTGTAAGTAATAAAATGAATGAGAGCTGAATTTCTTTTAGCTGCTTCAGTTTCAGGGTGCAGGTATTGAATCACTGGGCCATCATTAATGTTATAGGTAACACCTGTGCTTTACCTACAAGGCAAACTGTCTGGCGCAATGATTGCTCACAGCTTCGACTGATTTCCCCGTTTTCGGCTGCAGGTTTTTGATTGGCCGAGAGAAGGAGGGGGTGGAGAGCGAGGTGGCGCGGCTGATCAATGAAAGTCTGGAAATGGATAAAACATCCAGGAAGGTGAGCTTTTCAAAAGAGGAGTGAAGTTTTGAATCGTGTTAATAATCCCATGTAGTTTGATTGTGCTGCTTTCTGTGTGTGTGTTTTTCTTTATATATGAAGAGAGGAAGAGCAGGCAGGGATGAATGTACTGATAGTATCATGTCAGAGAGGGGCTCAGTGGCTGAGGAAGAGGAGGAAGACGAGGAGGAGGAGGATGAGGAGGATGTGTCTGTTCTTTCCAGCCTGGACAGTTACCAGCTCTGCCTCAAATACCAGCAGGTACTTTACATTCAAAATGGATTCATGAATTAAGATCTGTAAATAAGGCATATATGCCAAACCTACTGTTAGATAGCAGGTCAGCAGTAAATTAAAGTAGGATGTCACATTAGAAAATATCTCAAGACACAAATACTGTTTTAGCAATTGCTTATCTTCTTTCGTATAAACCTGTACCCATATCGATCCATGTATGTTTGGTTTTGCACCCTTTCTCTCGCCATAGCTTCAGTCAAAACTACGAAGCAGAGCAGCACAACTTCACCACGCTAGAGAAAAGGTAGGTCACTCAGCTGAGATTGAGCTCTCTCTCTCTCTTGCTCTCGCACACGCACACACAAACCATTAACTGTACTCACTTTAATACACTACCTTTGCATCCACATTTGGTACAGTCCGACCTATTTAACTGTGTATGAGATGGCTTCAGTGTGGAGTTACTAGGACATGGGCCGCGTTCCAACACTTCTCCACGTCAACCCTGCTTTTCTGCCTTTGCCTTGAAGTAATCACCACTGTGACATAACTGGGTTGGCAAAAGCCTTTCAGTAGAAAATCTGGCTTTCTTCTATCCAACTGTGTTCATTTGTTGTATCCAAACTCTTCTCCACCTCTAAGAATAGTTTTTGATTCGTGTGACGTAACAACAAAAGGACCTTCTTTTTTTTTGGAGGCTTTTTCTTTCCCCTTGCGCACATGACATTTATCACAGACATGCATTTATAAAAACACACAATCTATTCTTTTACTGTATGTTTCCCAAGTTAAAGGCATTGGAGGAGCATCAGGCCTGTTGGGAGAGCCAGAAGGAGGAGTTGGAACAAAAAGTGGAGGATGGAGAGGAGAAAGCTGACAAACTAGAGAAGTACGATGTTGTAGATTATACTACAAATATCATAGCAATGCATTTTGCCGTCTTAGACATGACAGATTTGTAAGTATATACAGATCTAGCTCAAAGACAAGGTGTGAGCCTAAATCCTGCAAGAGAATAGTCATGTTAAGAAACATTATAAAGATTATATTGATGGTTAAGAGGGTACTAACACCCCCCACTCTTTTTATCAGTTATTGGCAAGAGGCCCAGACATTGTGCAGGGTTGTGAGCCAGCGACTGGCGGATGCCCAGAGCCAATCAGAAAGTTTGGAGATCAAATACAGTAAGGCCAAGAGACTCGTCCGAGAATACCAGAGCAGGTATGTATCTAATCCATCCAATCCAGTGATTTTTCTGACAACGTGGAATATCACTCCTAAATTACTGGGAGTGTATTCTATTAGCTGGTAAAATTGTGTGTCTTCCCCCGTCCATGTTTGGAACTAAACATTTCAAATAATATTTGGGGTTTTGTTTTTTGTTTTTCAGAGAGGAGGAGAGGGAGAAAAGAGAAGCCGATTTGAGGAGAGAAATGGAGGAGAGAGATAAGCTGCACAGAGAGGCAGTTGAAAGGCTGCAAATCCAGGTGAGAGGAGACCTCTCAATCCTTTACTGAGCCTGCCATTTCTCCGTAGTCATTGTTTCACACTGTTTATCACAGATAGCACAGCTGGAGAGGAAAGAGCCAGAAAGAAAGAACCACTCTGTGGACCCCTCAGTCACTGGTAAGCAGCTAAATTACTGTGACTGTAGAGTGTACTCTTTATGTGACTGTGTGTCTTTTTGACTTTGTGTCGCTAATAAAACGTTGAAAACCATTTTTAAAGTCATTTTTATGTATTCAGATCTGGAAGGATTCAAAGAGTTGTGTTCTTTAAACAAAATATTTACAGTGAGGAAAATGTAATGTGTTTTTTTTTTTTTTTTTTGTTTTTTTTTCAAACAAATAGAAATTGGACTGAAAAAAGGGGAATTGTGTTTGTGTCTCAGGTCCAGACTGGTATATTCCAGTACCTGATACGGGACGTCTAGACTCCAGTGCTCACATAGCCAGGGCTCAACTGGCCCAGAAATCCAAGCGCCACCCGCCTTCTCGAGACAAACTCAGAGAGAGCTTTAGGAAGCAGGTAGGTGACAGAGCTGTAAAACGAACTCTAAATCTGCTGTTTCTGACAGACACTTGCACACCTGCGTCTTCATGTTGCTTTTTAGGAAGGTGAAGGTCAGAAACCCCAGGAGAGCCAGTCACTGTCCGCTCCCACAGTGGCACAAAGGGGCAGCAGAAGTGACCAGTCCAGTACCTCGTCTTTCTCAGCCCTCAGTCCTCAACCTCCCACCAACGCTGTCTTCACCCCTCCTATCTACATCAACGACACGGTCACACCCTCACCGTGCAAACCCTCCGTATCCCGAAAGTCCAAAAGGAAATTTCCCGACTTAAGGTGCAGGATCTCTTTCTTTTGTCCAAGACAAAAAATTTTGCGTAGCCATCAGGAGTTCTATAGATTTCCTTTGAGCCATAGTAAATGTCTGGATATCTGCCACAGGGATGCTGACTGGCCATTTTTGCTGGTGGTATGCTTTTTAGTGACTGTTGTCTGTTTCATCTTTCAGTGGCCTTCGCAAGTCTCTCAGCAAAAGGAGAAGTGAGAAACACCGCAAAAAGTCCACAAACAACAGGTGTGACATCACGTTCACAAAAACAAAACAAAAAGCAGAAAATACAAACATTTGCAATTAACGTTAAATTTTGTGACATGTCATTTGATAGGGCGATAAATAAAAGCCATTGATGATGCAATCCATAATGTTTCACTTGCACACTACGGCTTACAGCATTCACAATCACCTGTTTTTATGCATGTTTTTAAAAAACAGGAGCGGAAACACCAGATATTTGAAAGCGGGGGGGTGGGGTACCAAATCTATCTAAAGGTGCTGGAGCTCTAGACTATCAAACTCAATGAAGAAAAGCAACCACATACTCTAATCTGTTCAAAAATCTTATTTTGCATTCTTTTGGTCAGAGACATTCTTTCAAGCCAGAACAGGGTATTTTTGCCTTCTGAGCTACCGAGGCACCCCAAACGTGTACATATTTAATTGAAACATAACTATTGTTTTCTAGCAGGGGGTCGTGTGGTGACCTGGTGGATGAGCCCGCTGGAGTTTCTCCATCAGGTTCAGTCACCTCCATGCCCTCTTGCCTTCCCTTCCCCTGGTTTGGAGAGCGAGGGAGAGAAAAAGAAGAGGGTGAGAGAGGCAGGGAGAGACTTCGGTCTGTGTCCAGCAGCAGTCTACCTTACCTGACCACCACAGGTAGAAGAGATCAGGTAAGAAAAGATGCACTAATGAATAAAATGTGTACATGGCACATTGAAGGCTAAACATGCTAATGTGGCCAGAGTGACAAAGATCTAAATTAGGCTCACAGCCTTTCTTTGCATGCCATCTTCCTCCTCTGTCTAAACTTTCTGGAACAGTAATCCTTGATATGAACACACATGCATGGGTACGCATGCAGCGGCTGTGAAGCACAGTATGTAGGCAGCCTTTTTCTCTTCCTTCCAGAGTATTGGCTCACCAGTGTGCAGCTCCAGCATGGTGGGTCATGTCTCTGATCTCTCCCTCTCTGGACACTCTCACACTTTCACCTTTTCCTCCACTGAGGTGAGTCTGTCCTCCCCTTCCTTTTTCTTTCCTTTTTTCTTACTCCCCCCCCAGCACAGTCTTCCTCCAATCTTTCTTTTCCCAAGCCTACTCTCCTCTTTAATTACAGTTTCCTCTCATTTCTTTTCTTCTCTGCTCCCTCACTCTGTCTGCGTGTTGTCTCCGGTGTCCTGTCAGACGTTGGATGATGACCCAGTTCCCACCAATAACAACAACCAGTGGCAAAGTCGACCCGTCTTAGAGTGGAACAACCAGCAGGTGTGTCTATGGTTAGTCGCCATGAACATGGACCAGTACGCTTCTGAGTTCGCTGCAAGAGGTGTGGATGGGACCGCGCTGCTCAGTATGGACAGTGAAAAACTCAAGGTGAGCCATTTAAGATGTTGAGGGAATCATTTTTGAATGTGGTACGCACAGATACAGTTTCTTTACTTTGGATGCATTTTGTCACATTTTAAAGTAACCATATTATTGTATTCTAACAGACTTCAAGACTGGCCGGAACTTTGGTTGTTTTCCATATTAGTTTCACTATTTCTGATTTAGTTAATTAAGTAGTAGTAGTCCTAATATCAAATAGTCAATGTGATTACAGGGTGATTAAAAGTGAGATTTTTATCTTTTAAACTCCCATAACAGTTCCATCCCAGACTGACAAACTCCTCTGGCCATATTTTGTCATTTATACTGTATTTTTAGTTAATTTAGATTATTTTTGTATTTTATTGTAGTTTACTTATCTACGTCTGTGTATAACTGTGTGTTGTAACTAGATGGCTTTTTATTCATCATTGGTAATCATCAACAAATGTATTTATAAATACCTTTGAACTCTGTACTGATTGGGACAAAATTGTGCTCTCTGGTGGTCTCTAAATTGCCTCAAACATATCTTTGGCATATCTATGCTCCAGTTTCTCAATAGTAGTTAGTTAATAGTTGACATAGACTATATGGTGATACTATTTAATCTGTGATAATTTGGTGATATATCTGAAAGGCTCTATTGGTAAGAACTAGAACTACCTTTGTGATACTTCCTTCCCCTGTATTGGGATTAAACCACTTTTGTTGCAAAAATGACTATCAGTTAAATCCTGTATGTTGGAGGGTAATTAACCTGGACCTGTACAGAATCCATGTATATTCTGTTAACATTCACTTGTCTTCTCTGTTGTCTCTCTCAGGCTCTTGGGGTGTGCAGCCACAGCGACCGGTCTGCCCTCAAGAAGAAGCTGAAGGAGATGAAGAAAAGCGAGGAAAAGGGGCAAAGGAAAGGAGAGAAGAATGCGGTTTTGGATAAGGAGAGCGATGAAAAAGAGAAAGCGAGGATGGCGATGGAGTCTGTAAAAGACTCCAGACGCAGTGGCAAAACTGTAAGAACTGAGTCACTCCTGTAAAGGTGACGTCGGAGATGCATGAGGGTGTGTTTGCAGTCTAACGCACACAAATAAACTTGAACACATGTCTGTTTATTTAATAGAAACAGCTAGATCTACTGCACACATCTATCGTTCACATCTTAATAGTTATCATTTATGGTACAGAACACTGGTTGGTTTTAAACTGATAGACCGAACTTTGGACAAGAGCAGAGGTCGACTCCAGCACCAAAGTTCACACTCACAGCAGACGCACATCTCTCTGTATACGTCAGGTGTAAAGTGACAGTTTGCTACGGTTTTAAAGTGTTGTTTGGTTTTTTTTTATCATGAACCTTAAATTATCCTTAGAATGGTTTTAATATTTAACGTGCTGATTTAAGCACGCAGGTATCTGCTGTAAATGCTTTTTTTATGTATTAATAAATAACGTTTTAAACCTTCTTCTTGACATCTTTAAAAAGTAATTACACAGAACACATGATATATTTTAAAAAACATTTATTCAAGAAACTCTTTGTCCCCTCTCAGTCTCTTCCTATTTTACAGCCAGTGAATAAAAGGCGAATTCTGCAGAGGTTTGGTAGTATATTTACACACCGAGTGCTCGACAACTGCAGTTGCTCCATAACCTACAACCTGAGGTGCCTTGAGCTTGAAAAATGCTGATTGGTCAAAGTTAAGGCAGATGCACAGTAACTTAAAAAAATAAAAAGAAATAAAAAAAATTGGGAAAATAAACATTTTAGTGTAAAAAAAAAAACAAAAACAAATGCCTGTGTTTGCATTGCATGACTCTTTGGCCGGTAGGGCACGTAACATAAAGTACTCCTCAAAGAATAAATACAAACAAATCTGCAAAATGTTTTTACAAGAACCTAGAAACACTACATACTCCCTCCCTCCCCCCCTCCCCAGTCAACACTGTGAATGTAGTAAATGTACAAAACAAGGTCTGACAGACAGTAGTTGTGCAGGACCATATCCCACACTGCAGCTCTCCTTCCAGTGATTTATACGGACTTTATCCAAGATCAATTCGGCCTCTGAAGCAGAACGTTTGATCAAGTTTTTAGTTTTAAAAAGTTTTGTTCTTTGTTTTTAACAAATTATTTTGTTGCTGTATTTACAGTCCACACTGTGCAAAGACAAGGCAGGAAAAAACAGTGAAATTGGGAGTTTATCAGTAAGCGACAGGAATCTGTGTGGGTCAGATCTCATTAGCTGTTAAGAATAATGTTCTTTGTCGTGCCAGGTTGTCATCCAGGGCTTCTTGTCCAGGTTTTCCCAGTTACCATTCCCAGGGTTTATTGCTCTCTCCTCCCGTTTGATCCGAACAGCGTTGTAACTTGGAACCTTGTCTTCATATTTGGCTCGCTTAAAAAAGCCACACTGCAAGAGAAGAATGGAAAAACAAAATCAATGTTTTGTTTGGGGAAAAAGCTATTTAAAGACATTCAGAGGAAGCACAGGAGCTTGAAGAGACATTTAATGTCATCAGTCCCTTTCACAGGTGCCAAGATGCAGTGAATCCATTAGGAGGTGTAGACAATCCACCTGCACTCCTCTTAAAGACGAGAGACATGTTCTAATGCCCCTGTTTTTAAAAGTAGAGAGAAAGAAACCTGCAGACCAAGTCACTGCATGTGTAATAGCAGAAGAAGAAATTGGAAATGGAGGAAAAGACAGAAAATCAAAGAGATGCAGAACAGCCCCCATGGTGATCCTTAGTCATTGCTTATCAGCCATCACCTCCCCTGGCCATGCAGGTAAACTGTAATGATCCACACATAACCATGTGTGAAAATCTTTTTAGGCATAAACTCTTTGCAGAAATAATCAGTCAGCTTTTACAGTAGCATTCATGTCACAGTGTGAGAATTGCCCACTGCCTGCCTAATACCATAAAGCAGCGCTTTTGTAGCAAAAAGGAGCGAGAGAAAACGTTTCACCCATTCGCGGCAGGCCGGGTAATTTTACCCTCTCTTTTTTTATGCATTTGATGTCAGTGTCTCTTTTTCTGATGGGTCCTCTTTATCCTTTTTCCCAAAGACTCCGCACTGAGGAGAGGCAGATTGTTAGAAAATGTGTGTAATCGCTGTTATGTATACCTACAGTTGATGAGAAAATTGTGCTTTACAGACTTAAGTGTTAGAAGTCTGCTTTTTTCAGTTAAAACCATGAAAATACAGATGTGCCATATGTGTTTGTATTAGCTGGGGCAGGATGTGTCCCTTTTGTCCTTCAGTTCTACCTTCCAGAGAAGGAAAGCCAGCAGGCCCAACAACAGCAACCCGAGCAGGATGGACAGCACGATGATCCACCATGGCACTCCTCCATACTGGGCTGCACGCCTCTCTGGGAACACCGTCAGTCTCACCTGGAGAACACAAATACAGTGGCAGAACATCAGTATTGGAAGTACAGTGTCAGATACACCGTTATTCTCTCTTTATATCACACACGTTAATGTTTTCGATGTCCATGCACTACGCTGACATCAGCATTTAAGAGCTGTTGTACAAAACTGTCATGTCATGCAATAAATAATCATGTCACCTTCTGCATATTAATTTACCTCTGTCTCAGCTTTTTCCAGCACTGTGTTCTTTGCTGTGCTATCCACACGCAGAGCGGCCTTCACTTTCACCTCCACATGATGCAACTTGGAATAATGCTGTTTAAAGACAAAAGGAGAAGATCAAGTTTAGATAGTGCTGGGAGTAATTAAAGAAAACTCTAAAATAATACATTTGCTGCAATAATCTTTGCCCCTTCAAAAAAAATCTGAAAAGTTTTGAATTCAATAATTGTCACTCTTTTCTCCATGAAACTCTACATAAAGGTTTTCTTATAAGTGCCCTCATTTATGTCATGTCCTCGCTTATAACTGACATACATGTTATAAGTTAAATCATAAGTTAATAATTCACTTCATGTTATTTAAATTCTTTGTGTTTTTGTATTTTGAGTGTTTAGTAAGTCCCAAATACTGTTTTCATTTCCATTTAACATTGCAAACCTGAGACTAGTACAAAGCATATGGGAAAAAATTGTGGGGGAACAAAGAATTTAAAATGTTCAAATTTTAAACCCTGACCAAATAGTTAAGTAAAAACATGTAACTGTCTTGCAGTCTTACCTCTATGAAGGTGCTGTTCCATAAGCGAGAGTGGAGAGTGATGACTGCATTACTGTCCAAGCCCCGCAGGGGGCACTTTATTGTCTGACAGGTTGCCCCATCTCCACAGGACTGTCAACAAAAAAGGGAGCACAACGTTACTTCTGGATTCTCCTGCTATTGGCTGCACAAGCACATAAAATATAATAATATAAAACAAAAAAAAGGTAGTGTAGTATTACCAGAGTTTTAGACTTCTTATCAAGTAAACTTAAAATAGTGCCTTCGCTGCCCCCCTGGGTGCTTTCTGCTGCTCTTCTCCTCCTGTTGTTACTTGGTTCCTTAAAAAAGAGAAGAAAAAGTACATCCAACTATTAAATTTACCTCAATTTCTTCATTTTTTTCTAAATGTAAAGAAATATATATAAACGTAACAAAAAATAAATAAACTGCTATCTGAAAAAGTACACAGCAACACCTTAATGTGATGCTTTCACTGACCACGTTACGAGGGTTTATTTCCCCTTTAGGAGAGCACTCCATGTGCTCAATTCCAGTGGAGCTGATCTTCATGAGGTAGAGGAGCCACTTCCCATGCTCCATGGTCTCCTTTGGCCAGTAGATTTCGAGGGTGGCGGTGCCGAACTCTGTCAAGCGCTTTCCCAGATTGATGATCTGTAAATCAAGACAGGAGCAGTGTTGTACCTCAGATGATATAGTATGATTTATCTAACTAGAGCACATATACATCCAGAATGCAAGATACATTTTAAGAGTGCTGAAAAGAACTCGCCACTCTGGAAAGGAAATGACTACTGACTACTACTACTATTTTGTACTCACTCTGAACTGGTGTGTGATGGCACTGCCAATTTCTATTTCATTCTTCATGGCTACCTCACCTTTGACCTCTCCTGTAAAGTAGACCTGAGAGGGCTGGGCATGTCTGGAAAGACACAGACACACAATTAGAAGCATGAATCTGAATTTGTTTTTGGTCCATGAACTGTGTGTGTGTGTGTGTGTGTGTGTGTGTGTGTGTGTGTGTGTGTGTGTGTGTGTGTGTGTGTGTGTGTGTGTGTGTGTAGAGGGGGGTGGGGGTTCTTACCCTGATACAGACAGCTGTAACATGATCGCCACTTTTGCCTTTGCTTTAAGAGAGGTCAATTTCTGCTGCTCGCTTGTCCTGTCAGATCAGAGGTTTGACACAGGTCAAGTCAGACACTGCTAGTGAACTACAAATGTTAATACATAATTAAAGTAAGTGCATTACAGTCCAGGAGTGCTGTTTTTTACTACTCAAGCAGGAAAAAAACTGTCTCTCAAATGATCAAGACCACCATCAAATCATTTATTATTTAGGGGTAAAATGAATGCTATTAGGCAGTTAGATTTACTTACGTTTCTGGCTTAAGATCAATTTCCACTTCAGTGGTATCGGGAGAGATGCTTGATGTACCCAGAATAATGTAGAAGGTCATCTACATGCACAAACAAGACAATATATAAGACAACAGTATTAACAGTGCCACCTGCAGAGGATGTAGACGGTGCTAAAAGGGGATTTTCTCTCACCTCTGAGCCCCGTTTGAAGGGGTTTCCAAGCTCACATTCGGCCTGAGAACCGTTTGTATTGGCTACACAGGTTACTGACCGCGCCTTAAATCAAAGACAAGTTCCAATCAGGACCACATAGTGATATGTGCGTGAATGTGGGTTTGTGAGACAGAAAAGAGAAGCTTACATTGGGTTGAACACGGACAGCAGAGTAGGTTAGGGAGCGTGGGAAGGAGGCAATCACAGAGGCTTCGTATGCATCATCTCCATTTAGATTGGTCACAGTGACCTCCAATGCGATGTCCTTCTGGTCGCTGAGCGAGATCACCGGCACACCGTTCTCCCTTTAAACAGACAGAGGTTATGATCTCATGTAACTGAAGAATTGGCTCCACATGCTTCAAGGAACAAGGAAGTAATTATTAAATGATACTCTTATGAAAAAAGGTGCGAGTGTTTGTTCTTACAATTCTAACGGAGTGAACGTGTCTCTGTCAGTTGCCTTGTAACCGTAGCGGTATTTCACCTGCATGTTGCTTCGGCAAACATTGTCGCTGCCGCAACCCTCCTTCAGGAAATGCACCTGCAACCACACAAGATTACATATATACAGTGGGAACATCAACACATCTTTAAATGTGTTCCTACATTAAGTATCATGCATACACACCTCTGATCGGATGGTCATTGGCTCACTGGCGTCGAGGACAGGTGACATCTGAGGAGTTGAGCTCTGTCTGCGTTTACGTTTGCCCTCCTGGATGTCCACAGACACATCGATGGGGATCCCATGCAGCTTGTCTTTGATATTTTCCTGCAGAATGACGACGTTACAAAACAGTTATTCTCAGACCACAATGCACTTGATCAAGAAATAAAGAATTTCCAGAGAGTGTCACTACCTGTATGGCAAGCTGTTGTTTAACGCACTGTTTCTTTCCTTTGCTTTTCATGGTGATGGTCCCTTCTGATTTGTAGCTGTGTTCAGAGGAGTCAAGGAAGGTTACCCTGGGGATAAGACCATTCTTCCTGCGGTCAGCGTCGGCCTCCAGGATGTACTTCACCGCTAGATGGGACAGAGACAGGGACGTAGGAGAGAGGAGAATGACATTTTGTGTATGGTTTTAACCTCCCTGTTACAATGTGTCATTATAATAAGCGAAAACATGATAAAGTTGAGATTTTGCTTTAATAAAGAAAAAGATGGCTCCGCTTACTCAGACTGGGAGCATAGCTCGCAGGGTTGGCAGTGTAGGTGAAGCATGCCTCAACTTCCAAGCTGGAGACACAATGCAGTTTATCTACAGTCAGACACAGTACTGGCATTTTCCACATATGTTTGTATTCAGAAATTAGTAGAATAAAAGTAGCAACTGAATGAAATAATATTATAGTTCTGTTTAATTTACGTCTTTCACAAGCTGAATCTTTGAACATCCTTTTTTTCCATAAATAAAATGGTTCATATTTGACACGACAGGGAAAAACAAAAGACATGCTACCAGAAGGTGCTGCCACAGTTCTTCTTGGTGAGGTCGATTTTCTCCGGTGAGAACTTGATTACCTTCTTGATGTTAATAACTGGACGGGCTCTGGGAGGACAGAACTCAGTAAGCAACTCTGTAACGATGAACAATAGAAATGTACAGTGAGGAAAACACGGCAGCTCACTCACCTATAGACAAAGACAGAGTCCGAGAGGGATCCGACAGCCAGGTCAGGGTAGGAGTTCGCATCCAGGTCCATGTTGCCTGCCAAAGAGTAGCCAAACATCTTGGCTCCTACGGACTGGCCGGACAGGACCTAAAGCAAGATTTTTATTTGACCTGAATTAGTTTCTTAGATACAAACATAATCCACAATGCTCTCAGCCTTCCTACTTCATAGAACACCATGCTGCACCAGAGTTACAGTTGACAAAGTGGACTAAGTTATCCCGCCAATTTATTACATACCTGTGAAGCTTTTTCAGAGCTGAGACCTCTGTCTGATCCATGGTAGATGTAAACGGTCCCTGCACCATTATCACTATAAGGAGCTCCCACTGCAAAATCTGACAGCAAGAAAGACAACAGTTACCTACAATGTGGTAATGCAGGTACATTTAATTCAAAACCAAGAATAACGAGCAGACAGTAGTATACAAGTGCACAGGCACAAACATCGCAGCCTCACCATGGTAACCATCCTGATTGATGTCTCCCAGGTTTTCCACAGCCAGGCCAAACATGGAGTCCTGAGGTCCATCTATCCTGGTGGGCTTGACTTTGTCCCACTCTCCGCCTTTGTTGACGTAGACGTAGACGGCTCCTCCAATTTCTCCGTCCTTCTCAAAGTATTGAGGAGCTCCCACCACTATGTCCTGCCAACTATGAGAGAAGAGCATTACCTGTTAGTGAGTGTACAGTAATAGTGATAGCACTTTTCAAAGCAGAAGCAGCACGTTGTGTGTATTCCTCACCCGTCTGCGTTGAGATCCAACACGGCCAAATCGTAGCCAAAAGACGAGGCCAGCCCTTCCCCTTCCAGGGTGTACTCTTCTAGCAGGATGTTGCTTGTGTCTCCGCCTTTCTTCAGCAGCACAACCGCTCCGCTGTGGTTCGCTCTGGGAGCTCCCGCCACCACCGTCAACTGCCGATTCTTGGTCAGACTCTTTCCCGAATCCAGAGAGAAGCCTGGGAGACGGAGAGAGAAAGGGACCCTTTCTTACATAGTCAGAGGCAGTTAGGTACATGAATATGTTTCTTTGTGACAGTGGAGTAGCTGAAGTAGCAGTGTCAGATTGGCAGTGAATGGATGAAGAGTGAGCTGTGATTTACCCAGGTAGCTGTTGGCAGGAGCAGGGACCAGGTCAGGGTTTTTATCTGTCTCATCGCCCACCTCAAAAGGACCATCATCATAGATGCCCATGTCTAACAATGTGTCGTTCCTTTGTTCCAAGCGCACCACACCTGGAGGAGAGGAGAGGAGACGAGAGGCATTAAAATGGTAGAGATCTGGCAAAACACAATAATCCTAACCGGTGCTAATGTTGAACACACAAATCACATAAAGTAGATTGATAATAAAGCATGTGTAGTTAAGTTGTTTTACAGTAAAACCTTTGAATAGCTTACTTTAAACATCTATGCACACACACATTAGACTACCTTTCCAGTTGTAGGCTCCAGGAGCCCCAAAGATGATGTAGTGGAAATCCTTGTCAAATGTGGCAGAGAGGCCTTGCTGGCAGGAGCCAAACATCTCGTGGCCTCTGGGCCGGCTCTCGCAGAAATGCCAGTTATCTCCCTCTTCAGTTGAGAGGGGATTGATAGTTAAGTCCTGATTGAGCACGTAGCAGCGGCCGATAATGTCACGGGATTCGCTGGCCGTGTTCACACTGGTCCGGCGCTGGTAGCGATGGGCACAGGTCTGCCAGGGGAAACAAGAGGCACACAGTTGAGTTGTTGTGTTGTTGGTCAAAGCTGATGAGATGTTGTGAAAAAGGCTTGTGTTGTTACTTTTAGAGTTTAGATGCCAGTAGCCTTAAAACAAGATAAGCCAATTACTTGTATATTTTACATAATATACTATTCATTGTTTGAGCCATTTATCAAGCAAAAACATTTTTTTTCTGTTTTATATCATTGGAAATTTACATTCATTGAGTTTGAACTGTTGGTTGGAGAAATCAAGCAATCTGAAGATGTCACCTTGGTCAAAGTTGTGACGTCCATTTTCTTAAAATGTAGATATTAAACAATAAATTAATCTAAAAAAAAATGTTTTGACATGTTTGATAGCTTTTGGAAAAACGTCATATTGGCATAAAAATACATTCTTGTGGGTTTAAAGGCATTTATTTGGATGTCTACGCAGGGCTGAAATGGATGATTATTGTCAAGTAATTGATTCATATATATAAAAGATCATAAAATAATAGAAAATGCACATTACTATCCAATGTGACCTTTAAATATCTTGTTTGATCCAACAAACAGTACAATAAACAAAAATATTCAGTTTATGATAATATAATAACATATATAACAGAATAAAGCAGCACATCCACACAAAGGATTAGCTGCAATCTGAGAAATTTTGGCATTCATAATCAAAAAAGGCATGAAAATAGTGGTTTAATTTCAAGGTCTTGGTCAGATACAAAGACATTATATTGTCTTTTTACTGAGCTCAGGATAAGCAGAATACAGATAGAGAAAGGGAAAGGGAATGACAAGCAGCAAAGGGCCACAGATCAGACTTGAACCTGTGGCCGCGGCAGCAAGGACTCAGTATACATAGGACGCCAGCTCTTCCAGGTGAACTACAAGGGCACCCTAAAAACACAGTCTTACCACAATCTTGCCTCCTGGGCCCTGACTGTTGACTGACACTCCCATCCACTGATTTTCTTTGCTTTCTCTGTTTGGATTCTCTACACAGAGACAGAGACAGAATTAGACACAAAAAGGATACTGTGACTCAAGTATCGTAGGAAAAAAAGGGTCTGAAATAGCCAAACACATATGAGAGAAATACACAGGTGTGGGCAGATTTCTCACCAGTCTTATCAAAGTGAACTCTGGCGCAGTCAGCTGAGGTGGTGCTTATGTCACAGTTGTACAGTCCTCCTGTCACTTTAGCTTTTTGACCACTCCAGGCTTTTGCTTTTGGGGCCCCAACCAGCAGCCTGAAACAGACACACAAATTAATGTGTGAAAAGCATACATAGCTCCATCAAATGCACTTTGTGAAAGCAGTTGGAGCAGTAAAACTCATTTGCAATCTAGCATTATGGCATTTCTTCCACTCGCACATTATATTATCATACATTCCAGTCTACTGTGTCACACAGCAGCCATATTCACACACACAAACACACACATCCGCCACCAAACTGATGTTCCATGTCCTCACGGTCCGACTGAGTCAAAGACCCCTTTCAAACGCCTGCTGTGGTTGATTGAACCAGGCTTTCTATCTCTCTCCACACACACACAGAGGCCGCCTTTGTGGAACAAGGACAAGGGCAAATGCCACACCCAAGTCTTGGCGACTGACATCCAGTTCCCAGGGTTTTCAACAGAGTAAATCAAACAAATCGAGGATGTCATCCTTCAAACTGATGCTTTATGGGGGTTTACAGCGGAGAGTAGGGCACATACACTCTGTCAATATACCCGTCTCTCTCTATATCACTCTGTATGTCCCAGGAGTTCTCTCAGGCTTTGCTTTGTCTGTCCGATGACCTACAGAGTTAATATTGCACAGCACACTGTCTTCACCAGATGAGATTAACCAAAGCCATTTTTAGCTGGAACACAAAGCATTCTCAGATACACACACACACACACACACACACACACACACACACACACACCATCTGGGAGGGAATTTACAGAGACATATAGTCAGAGTGAAGAGCTGAGGCCTAATGTGATCAGCATGTCTGCAGCGTAGACCTCACTAGTCAACACGCACTGCATGTGGAAGAAGATTTCAAACTAAAACAGATAACTTTTTCAGACAAGCATTAATCATCACGAATATTGACTCCAGCTGGAGTGATGGGGATTAGCAGAGGACAATAAATCTATTTACATGACAAGCAAAAATATGTCGCGTTAAAATTGTTTACAAAGACTTACAATGCTGCCGTTATGAGATGGATTCAAATGGTTGCAAAAATATGAAGACGTTTCTCTCCAATAAAAGGCATCACAATAGAAACAAACTCCTTCTGCATGGTGGACAAGGGTACAATGTTTATCCCATTTTAACCACTGGATTGGTTTGGCCTTGTTGTAAAAACCAGAGCACTATAATCTGTGCAGTTATCCCATCCATTAAGAGTCCAATCCAGCCCTTTTTTAAAACTACACAGTGAGTGAGTGACACTTGACATTTGATACCACACCGTCTGAAGCCAACTCTCCACCTCTAAGCGCACTAGCGTACCCAACAGAAAACAATTTTGCACACCGAGGGAATTTGTTAGGGCATGTGCTCGTCATCCAAAGATGAGTCACCACTTTCAAAGAGACGGTTCGTGACTATCAGTGAATCCCAGGTGGGCACATCTCCCCTTCCATTATCCTCCAAGATGCAGGAAGCCAGGAGAATTGACGGAAAGAGCTCTGCCAAGACACACTGGGGACTCTGGGAAATGGGGTCACTGGGTCTGGGGTCCCTGTTGCATTAACTGAGAATGGATACTGTAGTTCCTACTTCTACATAATCACATTGTGATATTCATTCAGGGTCTTGTTCACCTATTTCCTTTGGGCTAAATGCAACTAAGAAGAGTGCACAAACAGCAGCAATGTGAAAATAAAATAACACAATACATCACGATTAACTGAACAATAACATAATAATTAATAATTAAGCAAGAAAAGAAAGAGTAGTTGTTTACATATGATCCAAATTATGAAAAGTCTTATTCAGGAATCTAAATTGGAGACAAATCTAGACACATGTTTTTTATCAATGAAGAGTGAAGTGCTGACATGATGTGTCAAGGACTAACACTGTGATAAGTCTGACCCTCTGGCCCACTGACATTGACCCAGCTGTTTATCTAATCATTCACCACCAGCAGAGGAAGCCCCTAACACACTGGCTGAGTCTACAGGAAGGAGAAAGACAAACAGAGAGACAGGGTGTGTGTTTGGGTGTTCACTGACTCAAAACACGCATATTGGCAGCAACACTCGGACTGTCTCTGCGCAGGACAACAGAGACACCAGCGCAGAGTGACCATCAGAGAGACGTCCCCTTGAGAGAGGTGTGTTGGGTTTTTTTTTCCAACAGCAGCAAACTGGCACAGCCTGTTGCTTAGCAACGGCCAGTAGCAGCAGAGGCTAGAGGCGTTCACCACCAAATGGGTTGCAGATCCAGAGGTTCATGTCATCTGTTACCCAACTTCTCTCTCTCCATCCGAGCCAGCTGACTGACTGGTTGAATAACAGCTTATATTTGGTGCCCAGATGTAAGACTGATTTATGTTCCTCTCCGCATTCTTTCAACCATCACCTCTTTCTTTTCTTCAGTTCTTTTCTCTCTCTCTCTTTTTTGATGTTTGATAACCTGAACTTACCTGAAGGGAAGAAAGGGGGAAAATCCTACTCAAACGCAGACCTTGTATACTAATAACACTTAAACTCCACAGTCTTTCTATTTCCTCTATCGTTTCTGGAATCAAGACACAGCATGGCATTGAGATTACTATTTTACACACCAGCATGTCTTGCTCTCCTCTTTCTCACAGTGCATCTCTACATCCTTTACTCTATATCTATCCATTTCTCCAGAGCCAATTTATTTCTCAATGCATTTACATTCTCCCACTCTATGCAAGCTCTTAAACTTCCCTTAACTTTCACTCTGTATCCTCCTCCCTCATTCTCTTCATGCATTTTGAGCTTTCCCTCCTGATTTTATTACACAGACAGCTCCATCTGGTAATCATGACCAACCATGGAATGCTACACACACACACACACACACACACACACACACACACACACACACACACACACACACTGACACACATGCATATACACAATCCCATCAGCTCCTGCTCTCTCCTGCAGGTACATGCAACACTTGTCCCTACAGGGCATGAAATACACTGGAAGATATAAGACTGAATAAAAGTTGGCACGCATGACTGGCAAAAGATTGTGACTCACTGTGCACACTCAGCAGTGAGACAACACACATGGGGGGGGCAAAAGCACACACACACACACACCAACACTTACTTTAGCACACATGTTGTTCCAATGTTAACTCAAATCATTCTCAGCACAAAGAAAAACTATCACTCTCTTCTTTTTTTTGCCTCGGGTTAGGAACGTATCAAGCAGAACACTGAGCTCTCTGACACTCTTCCAAATGACTGACAACAAGGCAACGCCTCAGTGCTCAGCCACAGCATGCATCAGCACCATTAAAGCACACTAAACATGCACCACTCGCACACACATGCATGCATCCACAGGCAGCACATACACACAGTCCACAGTGAGAGCACATTCCACCTCTGTAACAGCAGTAAGAGCACCATCACTTGCAAAACAAACATGGCTTCCTGCTCAAACATGCACACACACATTCAAACTTGCGCTATAATGTAACACACACATGCCTGTTTCTACACTGATTGAGGACAAGATTTGTTCAACCAACTGTTAAACTATGTGGAATATAATTGTATTTGAACAGCAGATCAGGACAAATAGCTCTGGATCATGGGAAATAAACCCTGCAGAAAACCTGCCTGAAATTACACCTCTCACAAATAAGGGTTAGAGCTGCAAATAACACTGTTTTTCATTAATTATTCATCTTCCAGTAACTCTCTCCATCAATCAATTAACAGTTTAGTCAATAAAATAGTGAACAATTCCAATCACAACCAAGAGACACAATTGATTGAATGTTAAAACTGCAGTTAAAACAGTCAGAGGAGGAAAACCAGCATATCTTCACATTTAAAAGCTGGAAAAAGCTTATATTTAGCTAGTTTTTGCCTAAACTTACATAATTAAACGGATTATCAATGTTGCAGATTACCTTTCTGGTGATCTACTTCTAATTGTTTCAGTAAGCGACAGCTCAGTCTGGTTTACTGTTATCTTTTGTTTTCCAGTTCACAGAATCCAACTGTGTTCTTTTTTTTCTTGTGTTTAACTTTACAACCTGAAGCAGGGGGACTTTGTGGTTGCTCTGGTCCCGTGCTGATCACCATGTGTCTTTCATTTAGACACAGCCTAAAACTAGGACACAAACTGCCACTGTGTGTGTGTGTGTGTGTGTGTGTGTGTGTGTGTGTGTGTGTGCAGCAGTAGTAGAAGGGTGTTAATAAGTTGAAGAAGTGTTTAACCTCTGTGGAGAAGGTTAAAGACTTGGGGATGCTTAATAACTCTGAGCTGTACTAGTTAAGGATATGTTGCAGCGGTTGAACACACTGTGATGACCTAACCACTACCTGGGGCCTGTGTGTTGATCAGTTCTGTGTAAAAATACAGTTAATAGCAGAAGTAGTTTAGGCTACATATCGGTGCCCACTAGAGGCACTGATCACACTGTAATGAACTTTAAATTAAATAATTTTACCTTATATTATAGACAGTGGTGGAATATAAGTGTACATTTACTCAAGTATTATACTTCTATACATACATACTTCTACATAATTCTGTACATTCTTGAAGTATTTGTACGTTACCTAAATATTGTACTTTCTACTCCGTTATATGTATTTACAACTATAGTTGCTAGTTACTTTACTTTATTAAGAATTTATAGGCCATACAAAATATATATGATTGGTTTATACAACAATATGTATTGTTATAGAATAAATTACCTAACCATATCTAAAGCAGTTAAAATTAGCTCCACCTCAACCAACTACAACAATAAAATGTATATATACATAATAATATAACAATAATACATATTAATATACCCCACAGGGGCCATTTTTACATTTGATAGTTTAGGTACATTTTGATAGTTATCAATGCAGGTCGTTCACTTATAACAGAGATTGTTTTAAAGTGTGGCATTAATACTTTTAAAGGATTTGAACACTTCCTCCACCAACAAAACGTCGCCTTTTAATCACAAACACAGGCAAAAGTGTATATTTCTGTCAGGCCCATCACAGCCTGAGAGACTCTCAGATAAAAGAATCTGACTGGTCTGATCTCAGGTCAGTTTATATTAAGGCTATTCAAACCAGTGACCACATGATGGTAGTTAGCCTTTATGCAGAGTGACAAATCCCTCTGAACCAATGCCCATAAAAATGCCAACAATGATTCAATGAGATGTTTTGGCCCTAAACGCCAAGGCTCGGTCTCACTGGCTCTCACCTAAAAACAACTCTGGGGGAATGTCAGGCAAAAAAAAAAAAAAAAAAAAAAAGGACAGAAAGAAGAGAAAGAGAGAGAGAAATGTAGGCACGCGCTGTTGAGTGCACGTAAACCAATATCTGCCCAGGTCCCATAAAAACTCACTCAATAAGTAAACCGAAAGGAAAGGCTGACAAAACATTAACAAGGTCTGCGGTTTGAGCTCGCAACAGGTGTATATAAAGTACGGCACATTATTTTAAGAAGCTGGGGGAAATAGTTTTGCTGATTTTGTGAGGGGAAAAAAAGCCTAAAAAACTACCTGCGACATACCTGAGCTCAAATGACTGCGCAGCATTTAACTCTCTCCTGACATTTCTACGGGAACTTAAACGCGTCTCAAAAGCAGCTTTACAAGAAAAACAGTCGTCTACATTGCTGTAACATTTTAATTACATGGTTACAGAAGTTATTTTAATGACATGTATAGCTATGGTTCCCGAGGCCAGGACGACCTAGAAGTGAATGGACTCGTTCCCCTTTAAAACCATAAAAAAAGAAAGAAAAAAAAGTGTGGCTCTTACATTCTCTTATCCACCGGCTTGAGCTGCCGGTGCATGGCCAGAGAGAAGCCGAACAGGGTGCCTGGTTCTCCGCTCTTCCGCAGGACATTCTCGCTGTCCAGGTTGAAAGCCGCCAGTCGCCCACATCCCAAGAGAAAAACGACCGGCCACAGTCCACAGGTGACCCTGACCTCCATGAGATACAGTCAAATGTAAAAACTCCCTTTGAACCGGTGAGAGGTGAAGGAGTCCTCGCTTAAGGAGGTGCAGAATGCGACTGGCTGACTGCTGGAGGGTTGAATGTGGTCCACTTAACTTTCAGCTGCCCCTCCCACTGGCCTCTCCTGGCACACACACACCATCTCACCACTCCTCAAACTGCTTGAAGACATAACTTGTATTGTCAAGTATATTTTAATTGGAGAAGATCAATGCCTTTGTTAGTTTGCAGCAGATCAATTGTGTAATCTAACCAGCTCAGTGATGCCTGAGGCTTTGTCGAAAACACATTTTGCTGAAATAAAGTGGCGCTTCGGGGAACAAAGACAGTAGATCTCTAAGTATAACACTATAATAAAGACTGCACTTCAACTCCCTTGGAAACATGCACAAACAAAACATACAAGAGGGAAAATATTGGCGAAACACCCGGTGACAGAGAGCGCAATCTGCACACTCCCAGTAGATTTTGTTTACTGACATCCTTGCAGAGAAGGAGGAGATGCAGAGACAATAGGCTGGTAGAGACAAGAGCTGGCACAGTTGCAGTTAGTCAATACAGTGATTAAGCCAGAAATTTGGTTTAGTGATCAATCCAGACCACAACAGCAATTCAGTGACCTAGAGTAGGCGGATGGAAACAGGAAGAAAGACAGAAGAATAAGAGAGAGTGTTTGCAGTACAATAGCAGGCCTCTACAAACTACAGCTCAGAAATCCAAAGCTAGAAATTACAATCCTTTCTGCGTGCTCCCTCAGATCATTACATGCTATATCACCACAGGGCCTGTGTCTTCTGTAAATGACTCATTAGATGAGTCACAGTGCCAGGCTGGGCACAGACCTGCACATTTAACACACTCCCTAACTAGATGGTTTTCAAGGCATTCCATCAGACGCTGACCCAAAGCCTGTCCTCACAACACAGCATTTCAGTAGACAACGCAGGCTTTGTCTGCACATTGAGAAAGAGGGCAGACAGAGAGGGAGAGGGAGAAAGGGAAACTGCCCACATACTGTATAAAAGGCACAAATAATGGTGGAAGAGGGGGAGCACAAAAAAAGGAAAAGGGCAAGGGGAAGAATGTGGTTCCTATACAGGTCTGTTATCTACTTAAGTTTTTATGATCCCCAGCAAGAACCAGCTCTGTGATTCAGCATTACTTGGAGCTGGACAAAAACAGAAGTTAACACTTGATCTTATACATATATGGGGTTTATATTTATATGTATAGACTCAAACCCAGGGCTGCTGCAGAGAGGACTCTACCAGGTGAGCTACCAGGGCGTCCCAAATCTTGATCTATCATATTAGGTTGGAAAATAAGGTTCATTTGATATGTATTTAAACCACCAGAACAAGCTTAGAGTGGAGTTTCTCCTTTTTACCCTGGTCAGTCACATGTTTTGCAGATGTCTTGATACTATTACTCTATTTTATAAAAGATCTCCCTCCTTGAAGGTAGTGGAATCCCTAAATCATGTGACCGTTGGCTCATTGGCGCTATTTGTGCATGTGTGTTGTTTTTTTTCGTGCGGTTTTGTCTAATGCTGGACGTTCACCAGTAATTTATGGTTCTGTCAGAAACAGGAATCAGCCTTATCACTGATAAGAACAGCAGTCTGTATAGTGAGGTGAGTTAGCTTAGCTCGCCCTTGGCTCGTGTTTTTCTTTACAGTAAACTTCCATACCCAAAGTGTAAAGAGAAGGACCCCCAATTAATGAACAGACATATGACACTTCCTCTGTCTGACAACAAATCACAGCTCTCCTTCTTCCTCTGGTGTTCAGCTTTCCAGCCTCAGCAGCTCTTATTTTCTTTTCTTGTGTGGGTTATCGTCTAACCTCAACATCACACATATCACAGCTTACCAACACCCTCCCCGCCCCCAACCTTTTCTTCTTCTCCTCTACTATGCTCCAGGGAAATAAAGGTCACACATCTCGTCTACACATAAAGAAACAGTGAGCATTGATCAGCTGACATTCAATCATGTTTTAAGGGTAACGTGTAATGATAAAGGCGCACAAAATATCACATAGTTACTGAGGAAAAGATCAAGAATTGAATGTGAATAACAAAAAGTAAACAAATACTTTCCAACTTTGAATAAACAAAGATAAGATACTCGAGAACTGACTTCCTGATCACTTTATTAATGAATCATTGCCAGTTAACTCTGAGTCAGGAGCTAACTGGCACATAATCATAATGAATCATTAGTTACATATATATATATATAAGCTACAACTTATCTGACAGACCCAGTGATTTTAATGATTATAACAAACTACATCTCCTAATACAATGTGTGCGCGCCCCGTGTACAGCATGTTCAGTATAACGACAGCAGAGGAGAAAAAAATGTTGCCTTGGGTGCTAAAGTGGAGGAACGTTCTCTGACACACAGACACGTACGTCGAAAATTCAGCGCCTAGACTCGCCCGAGCCACAGCCCTGTATTTGTTCTCGAAGCTGCAGCTCCAGGTACACTAAGAGAAAACAAACGCACACTCACCTGAGGGTGTGGCACAATGAGCTGAGTGGTAGGGTGTGTGTGTGCGTGTGTCTTTATGACACTATAGAAACACATAGCCTTAGGATACTGATAAATACACACACTCACAATCAGTTACACAATAACACTGAACTTCCAACCCAAGGTCTGTCACAACTGCAGCACATGAATGCACTTTCCCTGAGCACAATCGATTATGTGAGCCTGTAAATATGTTGACAGCAGATCATCTCAGAACTGATATATCAGATCAGAGAAATTGATGAAGTATTTGTCAGCTGAATGTCTTCAACAAAAACACAGGACAGACAGATGATCAATGAGTGCCGACCCAGCTCTTCTCAAGTAACAGCTGGCTGGTTGGGTGGGAGTATGCATGGTGTACAGCAGTATACCTTAAAGGAATAGTTCAACATTTTGGGACTTATTGTCTTTCTTGCCAAGAGTTTGATAAAAACAGATTGATGGTGCAGCTGATCCTAGAGTGACAGCCAGCAGCCGGTTAGCTTAGCATAAAGACTGGAAACTAGCTAGCCTGGCTCTGTCCAAAGGTAAAAGTATCCACCTATCAGAACCTCTACAGCTCACTGATTATTTAATCACAATATTGAACAGTTTTTGTATGTATAAAACAAATTAAATACAACATGTTATGCTGTATAGCTTAATATTCACTGTTCAGATATGAGATATAATCTGCTGTCAGCGGGACTGGAAACAAGATTCCGAAATCATGTTGAAATAATGCAAATCAAACAAAGAAATGTCCTGGTCTAATGCACTTTAATGCATTCTTAACATCACATGAAAGTCTAATACCCATAGAGAATGTAATTTTAATGCTTTCATTTCAGAGGAGCTGTCCTTTATGAGCAACAGCGTTCTTAGCTCATAAGATGGTGCTGACGTAAGTGTGGTGAGGATATATAATGTCCTGCAAAAGAGAAAGAAAGCAAAGCTATCTGTTAGCAATCAAGTGACATTGTGGGGACAAACGTCTAATTTACATTCCCCTATGTGGTATCTTATTCACAGTATTGATCCTATTCCTTAGTAGAACTTATACTCATGGTTAAAACATAAAGGGACACATACACACACACACACACACACACACACACACACACACAACACACACACACACGGTGCAGACTGTAATAGATCCTTTACCCTTCTTGATGAGTGTATTGATTACAGTCAATAAGAAGTAATTGATGTCTTCTCCTGTCCAGCAGTGCTGTAACACCCTTGGGACAACTGCAACCCCCATTTGTACATTTACCCCCTGACTGAGCTGTGTGTGTGTGTGTGTGTGTGTGTGTGTGTGTGTCCCAGCCCTAGCCAGAGGAGGTAATATGAGATGGCAGTAGTTGTGGGAGGGGTACAGGTGTGCTTCAAAAAGATGTTAGGTAACCTGAGGGCAGGGCAAAGTGAGAAATGTTCAGTTTCCTTCTGACAGATTCAAGTTGGATGACAAACGATTTAAGATTATAAAACTAGTCACTCTTCCTGAACTGTATTGTTTAATTATCTTTGCTTTACTATCTGTCATATGCAGTAACAAAACACATCAACATTTAAGTCATATTACCACTCCCATCAAACACAACCTTGTTATCTTTCTCTCTCCGTTGATCAGACAATAAAGAGTTGATGGGACAATCCTTGCACTGCACTCTGGGAGTGTGGGTGAGGTAAGGGTTGTAAATATGACTCTCCCCACTCTTCAAAAAGACAGTTAAGTCCAAATTGCTCCTGTAAAGTGGTTTAGTGGCAAACAGTAAAAGACTGTGACTGCACTGTGTGGGTGTAACAGCTGGAAATTAAAATAAGGAGGTGCCGAGACATCCTGATTGCCAACTGTCAATGAAACTGTTTTCAAGACTAAAACATGCTGTTTTTTAATTAATTAATTCTATTTTGTTGTCACACAGATTTTATAATTGTGCCTGCTTAGCTATTGGAAGGGTTGCCTCTGAACATTCATGGTCCCCAGAAAGTAAATCCTACTGACTTTGGTGAACCATTGACTTTAGCTCTTGAGCCACCCTTCAGAACGAATTGTAATAAGTTTGTTAATCCTGTAACTTTCAATGTAACCACCACAATCAGGTTATATTTCTAAATGTATGGGTTATTAACAAATACCTTTCTTGTATTCAGTTTGACACTTACTTATTAAAATCTCCAACTTTGTGTGAATCTTATTCAAAATATTAGGATTAAAAAAAACATCCTATTAAGATTTCTATGATACATAAGGTAAAAGGTCCCTGTAGTAAATCTACCTCTTCAACCTGAAGCAGCTCTGCAGTAGGGAATGCACAGATACACACACCAGTGCACACAAACTGTCCATAACTCAAAGCTGACAGCACAACAAAACAGTTTCCACCATAATGAATGCCTTGCTTTGGCAGCCAGAGAGAGAGAGAGCTATACGTTACTGGCTAGAACTAATTGTTATTCAGACACACACACACACACACACACACACACACACACACACACACACACACACACACACACACACACACACACACACACAGACATAAGTAGTGAACTTTGCTGTTTTAATGTTATTTGAGGATTCTGGCAGGGACTTTCGAACTTGTGAGGATTCTTTTAGAAATTCCTTCACCACCATTCCTTTTGGCTTCACAGAGAGAACTTCCTTCCCTCTGTTTTTGTCCACTGCACTACTGTACTTTCAAACACACACACACACACACACACACACACACACACACACACACACACACACACACACACACACACACAAGCTCAGTTGCTATTGTTGAAAAAAACTTTGGCCTGTAGGAAGGAGTGCAGTCAAAGCAGGAAAGCTAAATGTGATGTCTGTCGTTCATATTTTTCTCCGTCTTCTCATCAAGACAGGACACTCTAATATAAATATTGCATGTATCATATGATAGTATTGTCTATCAGTGACAATTACATCAATATTACTGCACCGAGTGGGCTCCGTTTCTATAAATAACTCTTTGTCTTGGTAGAACACTTTTTTTAAACAGATCAAAGCAAAGAGAATAAGGAATAAAGAAATAAAACACTTGTTCTCCTTTCAAGCTTATCTGATCTGACCCAAATGTCCCCAGACCTCCCACTGAGGCCCATGTACACACTCACACACACACACACACACACACACACACACACACACACACACACACACACACACACACACACATTATTGCTCTGAGCTGCCTAACCGGTTTTCCTCTGGTCCAAATGCAGTAAGAGAGGCCATTGTGCCGGGCAGCGAGCTCCAGTGTGTGTTTATGTGAACGTGTGTGTGTGCAAGTGTGAATGTCAGATGACAACAGAGGCAGACAGTTACCATTTATCAGAGACCTTTTCAGAGCTGCCTCGGGCAATGTATACCATCTACACACACTAACACACTACTGCACCCCTGCTCTTATTTTGGCAGACTGCTCTGGCTGTTTAGGCACAGGAGGGGTGTCAAAGGAACAAAGAAACACACAGAAGCCAAAAAGATACACCCAGAAATTAAGACCACACACCAGTGGATAGCTTGGGTTCCTTATCTATGGTCTGGGAGCACCAGATCACTCCTCCAAAAATATTTCCACTGTGTTAAGAAGACATAAAAGCATTCCTTACAATGAAAGAGTCAAGAGGTTAAAAGAGAAAGTTTTCCACCTTGTAAGTGTCAGTCAAGAAGGAAACCCTCCCTTGCCAGTCTGGTGACTTGAGTTTACAACCTTCTTCTTCTGCTACATGCACACACACACACACACACACACACACACACACACACACACACACACACACACACACACACACACACACACACACACACAAACAAATGCATTCTTGCAGATTAACTGTAACTTGTGACACACATATACTCTATGTGGCTTAATTTGACTCCAAAACACCCCTCATATAAATCTGCTTAGCCACGTTGATTCATTAAGGATTCATTCCAGTAATCAGTGTCGTCTGTTACAGGTAGTTCTTGGTATCACATTGTCTATTTGAAAGAATTAAGTCTCTCAGTCTCAATCATGTTCTCATATGAACACTGAATACTGTTCCTGTTTAACCCTGCATGAGGATCGCAATGTAGGTCAGCTGGTCCCGAACTTTAGTCCCGACTGAGATATGCTAATATGCGAAACTGGGATTGTGAACATGGTAAAACATTACACATACTTAACATCAGCATGTTAGTGTGAGCATGTTAGCACGCTGACATTAGCATTTAGCTCAGAGTTCTTATGTACAAAGAGCTGCTAGCATGTAGTCTTGTTACACTCGCAGTTTGGGAAATAAAAAAAAAAAACAGGCAAAATTATGGGACATAAATTACAACAAATAAAGGCAATTAAACTAAAATCAGATGACAAAGATGACAAATAACAGCCTCAATACAAAACCAGAACCACAGTGAGTGACACCGGCTTCAGTGATCACAAGGAGAAGGTGTGTGGCTCTATGAATTTACCACTTCTGGGTTCTGACCGATTCCTATCTTAACCAAAAGAGAAACAGTGTGTATTAACGAGTTAACAAGTAACTTTTCTTTTGCTTCCCTCATTTCTACTTTCAGTCTCACAATGAAGAAGCCCCATCACTGTGGAGACACCAAATGTGTTTACTAACTCAACATCATCAGCCTGTGGCTACATGTCCTGGAACATTGCATGTCTGATTCCAGGTAACAAACTCAGCTGTTTTTGCTTGGCCTTCAGGTGTTCCCACAGAGAGGGTTACTCAGTAAAATTCAGTTTGGGCAATCTCTGCATGTGTCATAAAGATCTGCCTCCACAAGACTGAAAATGATATGTCACTTTGTTAATGCCACAGGTCACCAAGGAAACCAAAGATTCCTGCGGTGCTCCTCAGCGAGATCCCAGGTAAGTGTGATATATCACAGTCTGAGTCTCACACACATACATTGATGTAGGTATGCACACCTGGAATGTGAGAACGTGGGAGAAACATAACACATGACTCTACCCATACTGTAGTAACAGAACAGCTTAACACAGTAGATGTTAAATGTGTTATTAAGTATATGAGAGAGAGAGAGGTGTCCTCACACATGGCGGAATGAATGAGGAATGCGGACGGCAGATATAAACGTCACATGATTGTATCTTCAGCACCAGTTTTTTTATGAATTGATAGCTGAGCAGCATCCACCGTGAACACAGGAAGAAAGCTGTATTTGTTTTGAGGAGATAAAACATTAATAGCTGGAAAAAAAACACACTCAGAGAACCCATGCTCTATCAAGGCTGCACAAATGTCAACAATCGCAAACCAGAAAACTGGAGGCTGAACAAACAGACCAAATAAACAGCTGATCTGATATAAATACACCCTTTCAGGACCAGCGAAGAAACTTCTTTATTTGTCTCTTTGGTATAGGAATAGTTAATCTGCCTGTGCATTAAAAATACATAAATTGATAGACAACCATGAAATCTTGTCATAAAGGGTGAACTTGTGACCACTTACTTACATCCATTTACATTTGTTGTGAAAAACAAAGCAAGCTTTCATATACAATTGCTGTGATATTTTAGGTAAAATTATAATGTGTTGTAGTAGTTCAAATGTTTCATTTTTGAGAGAAAGACAGTTTTATCTGACATTTTTCGTAGTAAACCTTAGATATTGAGCTTTTTGTGTTTTGTTTGTTTTGTGTCAGGCTCAGTGTTTTTACACAGACTTTATGTGATGCATTTGAATTGTGGTATTCTATGTCACATTATCCATGCTTAAAAAGAAACTGGCAACCAATCACAAGAAGGGTACGCTATTTAAAAAATACACTTTTTTTCAAATGTGTTATTCACATAACTGCTGAAGATTATATGAATACTGGGGCTCAGACCGACAGACAAACTGGAACACAAACATCGCCTCCTTTGCAGAGGTAATAATGATACACAAGGTTTCAATCTTAAACAATAGAACACATTATATTATATTATATATTATATAGTTATTTCAAGACTGAAAACCAAAAAAGATCCTCAACATAAGCAGGCGAGGATTCACAGGAGATCTGCAGAGCCAGAGGAGAGAGCAGGAATGTGTCCCAACATGCAAGAAAAGAATGAGAGGCAGGAGAGGGAATTCATGACCACAATCCAACACCTCACCCCGCCACTCCCTGCTCCTCCCTAAATCCTCCACCCCCTAATATCTACCGTCTGCTCTCTGCTCTCTACTCTCTGCCTCCACTTTCACTCATTCTTGCTGTCTGATATCTCTGATATCTTTTCAGATGTTTGAAATTTAATGAATCATATTTTGATGGGAGGCCATTAAGAATTGTTTACATGACTCCTGTCCTGATTCACAGGAAGCTCACTCTCCTTCAGCCACACACACACACACACACACACGCACACACACACACACCACACCCTGACCTAAAATCAAGTGGGGAGTACTGTATTGCTTTAACAAATAGAAAGTGGACTTCGGTTAAATATTTTAGTGGATCTTTGGTCTAAAATTCAGATTTTGTCCCTCAAGCTGAATGTATAAGACTGCTTATGCACATTTCAGACTATGAGTCCCTTAATTTATTGTATACCCCGTAACAACCCCGTGAATAAACATACACGTAATTCTTATCAACATATGTCTTCGAATTAAATTAAATTACAATACGTGAATCATATCCTGGCTGGACATGACCAGACTCCTGATAAACTGAACCACCTTTATTGTGTAATCCTTCCAGCCCCACCCACAAACTGGCACTGGCATGAGCACAGACACACACACACACACACACACACACACATACACACACACTCAAGAGTACATTGGCAGGAAGTGAAAACACACCCAGAGGGCTATAATCCAATTTCTCCTCCTGTTTTTTTTTTTTTCTCTGAAGCATCTTCACCACACGCTCAGTTAGTTGTATTCATAAGTATCATTACAACATTACCCACACAGCGTTATGAACAAACGGACTCTCTGAGAACTTGTTGTAGGTTGGTAGGAGACACTTTTAATCACTCACATGCTGCACTCTAATCCAACTTCTGTGTGAATTAACAAACCCGTAATTTCTGCTCTAATCACAGAGAGAAATGTCAGAGATGTTGAGTGTTACTGTAAAAGTAGATGAGGTAAAGAGAGAAAGGGTGTTGCGAGATATCTTATCTATGGTTCTTTTCTTTATTAAATCCACCTGTAGACAAAAGATATAGACAGAGGAACGGTTAAAGCCCAAAAGGATGTTTCTACACTTGGAAATTACAATGCTGAAGCAGCAATGTGTCTTCAACATGTTCAGTCTTTCATAGAAAACAAAGTGATACTGAAAAGCTTCATGTTAAGCAGTTGATAAACTAGATAACCTCAGGCCTTGGGACCGGACTTTCAACTTACTCCTGACTTTGACATCAGGAGGCAGGCGTACACTTACTGAGATTGTTTGTCTCCCCCTCCTGATTATGGGCCACAAACAAATTTGAGATGGTCAGATGCAGTTGTGCTGTTGTCCATCACAAGTGAATAGAGTGAAGGGGGAAGACTGTGCTGGCTGCAACATGCTCCAATGTATTAGTGTGTGTGCTGCCATCTACTGGCTATTCAACATGTTACCAAGGGACATATTTCCACTGACATTATTGTCACAGTATCTGATTATGCAGTTTGTATTTCATGATTCAGATACCTTGACCACATAGCTCCAGCTGAGCTCGTATTCAGGAACCATAGCTACTGTTGAGAACACTGGCGTAATGTCTTGTGCAATATTTGTTGTATTAGATTTTCTAAAGGACTTTTTGCCTTCATATGATGATATACAGCAAAGAGCCACAAGTTGGACCTGAACATGGACCACTGCAGCAAGGACTCAGTCCCGATACAGGGGGCACAAGCTCCACCAGGTGAGCTACTAGGAACCCCCATATTCCTGGGATTTAGGGGGGTTAATGAAAAAATAAGTCAACAAATTGTGTGTTAAAGGATTCAGATATTTCAGACTAACATTTAAAAATGTGATTTCTTTTAGTCCAATAGTGGAGTGAGGTATATATTATAGAAAATATAATTACTCAGTTAAATGAAAACATAAAATTTGAGCTTGTGTGACTTTATTAAATAATCAGAAGACTTTAGTGTTTGATTGGTGGCAAGTCTAACATCCTGGTTTAGACCATGCTAGTGTTACTCCCATTTAACTGTTACAAATCCTTTCTAGTTCAATTCAAATCACATTTAACTGTCACTGAACGGTCTGTCATCAAGTACAAAACTGGTCACCTGCTGATGGGGTAGCAAAAGAACAGACTGAAATGGTCCAACTGAATATACAGATACTGCATGTCTAATCCCTTGTAAATGATTAAAAGTAAAATTTATTTTTCTTTTTACACAATTTACAGATTTACAGATTCAAGTTCTTGTTCTAATGGTGTGTTTTATATTATCATAAAGGTAGTTGTTGATGTAAACATGGTTCAAACAGTAGATGTGTGGGTCAGCAGTCAGATCCCTTCAGGTCACCGTTGCTCTCTTCTGGCAGTTTGGTGAGAATATCTACTCCGTCAGATGTGATGACCACTGTGTGTTCAAACTGAGCCGACCTGCATGAATGTCAATTTACAAAAACACACAATGCACATGAAAGAATTTAAAGGAATAGTTCAACATTTGGGGAAATATGCTTATTTGAGAGGGAGATGAGAAGACTGATAGTACTTCTAGGAGCTGGGAGGCACTGTGCTTAACCTAGCACAAAGACAACCACCTACCTTTTGTCATCTGCAGACACTGCGGTCCACTTGTCCTTCAATATTTTAAACTCTACAGACCCCTCCATCAGTATGGGCTCTATAGAAACAGACAATATCAGCCTCTCATACACAGAGGCATCTTAATGTGCACGGAGAAACTGTAAAGGGTAACTCACCTATTGTGAATGCCATGCCCTCATCCATGGTCATGTCATTGTCATTAGCTGAAAAGAAAGATAAGAAGATTCTCTTTATTAATTAAAAAGACCTTTTGGCAACATGGTTTTCATATTGCTATATAAACTCATACAATGACACAGCAAGTATTTTTGAGGTTACCACATCATCTGTCCACAGACCCAAACTTACCATGGTGCCAGATCTCAGGATGGCAATGAAAGTAGGAGCCTATTCCATGTCCAATGAAATAAGGACACACTTGGAAGCCACTGGCATGAGCTATTTCACTGCCAGAAGTACAGAAAGGATTAGTTGGAATATTAGAAAAAAATAATGTGACTATACGCCATGTAGGTATTCTTTGTGTGTGTTTGTTTGTACCTGATAGTGTTTCCTATAACACAGAGCTGTGCACCCGGCATGCAGGCAGCGATGGCCTCATCTCTGCAAAGCCTGGCAGTTTCTACCAATCGCCGCCCAACCTCATCCACCTCGCCAATCAAGAAAGTTTCTGAGGTGTCACCATGGAAACCATCCAAATATACCTATCAGCAATAGGCAGAAGTTAGTGATGGGAGCAGTGTTGCTCTGACTGATCCCATTTGTAGTATTGTCTTTGAGTTTGTTTGTGTCTGTTAAGGCATCAACTCACAGTGACATCAATATTGATGATATCTCCGTCTTGAAGTTGCCGACTGCAGGAGACAGGCATATAAAAATAAAGTGTACAACTTTTACGTTATAATACAACTAATATAGAACATACTCATAGTACCTCAATTTTTAAATATACAGTACATATCTATATTTTGTATTTATTACATCTACCTTCTAGAAAAGGACAAATTGCGAAATGAATTCTAATTCAAAATGTCTATAGAAAGTTAAAGATTTAAAGATTTCTGTTGCCAACATTAATTTAAGTGTGGTGAAATGTGATTTAATTTTGAGATTTTTTGGACAGAATATATACCATTATATTTAACATTTTTATCAACAATGTAGTAAAAAAAATGTTGTATCTAAATTAGGCCTCTCGTTATGACACTGTAATACATAAGGCTTGTGAGTTATTTTGAAATTTAAATTATATCAGGTCTGCTGTGGATATTTAAATGCAGTTTACATTGTGGACACTAGGTGTCACTGTATGAATAGACTGCTTGAGCACGCTCTCTATGTACAAGGCCCGTTCCCATTAGGAGTGATATTCTCTGATCTAAATGTTGTGAGTAGATCTTCTGCACATTTACCTGTCAGGTATGCCATGACAGACCACGTTGTTCACAGACGTACAGACAGATTTGGGGAAACCCCCGTATCTGAGAGGGGAGGGGTAGGCATTGTGCTTGATTGTCTCCTGGTGTACGATGAAGTCTATTTCATCTGTTGTCATACCAACCTGGAAGCCACAGGTTATAAATGTTAGGCTGTTTTCATGACATAGAAACACACATTACTTGTAGAGCAGGCTCGTACCTTCAGACTGTGTCCAGCTAGTAGCAGTACATGTCTGGCTAGCTGACATGCTCTAGCAAGGCCTTCAATCTGCTCTTGGCTCTTGATCTCTATGTAGTCTGGCCATTCTGGGACCAGTCTAGTGTCTACATAGCCAGGTCGCACAATGTGCTACAGTCAGGGAGAAGAGGAAAGACAGGATATGAATGATAGGTCATACAGGGTTTGTTGTTTCAAGATGACTAAACCAAAAATGTCCAGACTCTCCAGCCTTAACAATGACAAAAAAAAGGCTTACAGAATTCCTTTATACCCACAGCGATCAATGTATATTATCACTGTGTTTATTTTACCAGCTGTTCATAGTTGCATGTGCATGTGTTGATCGTGATTATTCAATGCTTGCCAATAAAGGGATCAACAGAGGACTTATGAATGGCGGGTGAACATGCCAGGAGACAACAAACAAATATAACAAACAAATTTGTTTTACATGAGTTATTATGTAGATGAAACACCACATTATGTTGAAAATCAAGAATCAAGCCCCATCTACCGCTGGTGTTTTGTTTGTCTGTTCTGGGCTACTGTGGAAACAAAGCCCTTCAACATGGCAGACTCCATGGAAGGAGCCCTGCGACGTCTGTAGATAAAAACATACTAAAAGGTAAAAAAAAAACCATAACAATTCCTGTATTCAGGTGATTATACACTAATGAAAACATACCTATGAATATTATATTCCATTTCTGGCAATAGAAGACTATTCCTGCCTGAATGCATATGTAAGTTAACCTTTGTCGCTTCAAGTAATTTGGGAGTAATTTCAGGCAGGATTCATATCAGGTTTCTGACATAGTAATAATTTGAATTAAAAGTCCATTTAGGAGGATCTACTAGCTATTTATTTTATCTACAGATGTTGCAGGTTGCTTTCCACAGAGGCCGCCATGTTTGTCCAGAGGGGACAAAGCAAACACTGGGTCTAGATAGGGGCGCTTGCGTTCCTACTTCAAGCTTGGAAGCTGAGGGTGAAGCGAGGGAGTTGCAATCTCCAACTAAAGTGCAAGATGCTACCACATCCTATACACTGGATCTTTAGGCAAGAAAAAAAAAACTAAAGCAAAACATCAAACTACAAGTCATGGTTGGCTGACTTTCCAATCACAATACAGCTGAGGACTGTGGCATTATGGGAACGAAGGTACTGTACCTTGGGTACTGCATAGGCAGGCCTAACGGTAGCTGGGCGAACTACTTTGTGAGAACTTTGCCACTTCTTCCAGAAGAAATGCCGATGTTGCTGACACAGTAGGGCTGTGGGGGGACCGCCGCTTCTTAGACAACAAACTCTCCACAGGAAACCACCCAGTCCTGGGGAAAAAGAAAACAACACAATGAAGAAGAGGGCGCACTCTTATGTACTCTTTATGTAAAATAAATGTGAGAAAGGCAATACTTTGTGGCACAATGTGTATTTCATTGTGTCTTGTCTGAGCCACATTAAAGACCACTGATTAGTACCAATGTCCCCAAGCTGCCACCAAGTGAAAGGACAAGTATCTGTCACTGACAGCGTCTGTGTGCTCACTACACGATCGCTACGGTTACAGTAAAGGCTTATTTATTATCAATGTGAAGCTGTTGCGATATCTACACGTGAAAGGAGGCTCAATAGTGGTGTCCAACCATAGGTACCTCCTCCAGTATGTAACTACATGGGGTGCCCTGGTGCCCTAGAGGCTTAAAATGTTCAATGTTACATGTTCGAGTCCGGCCAGGAACCCCCTCTTTCACTATCCAATCGAAGGCACAAAACACTAAATAAAATCAAGTCAAAGATATAATTACAAACCAGAGCTACAGGTATAACAGGAAGACCAGGAGCTGCTCTTTAAGAGTACATGTTTTCATGGAACAAACTGACTGATGCCGGCTATGTGGGTGTGTGTGTGGCTGTGTGTGTGTGTGGCTGTGTGTGTGTGTGTGTGTGTGTGTGTGTGGCTGTGTGTGTGTGTGTGTGTGTGTGTGTGTGGCTGTGTGTGTGTGTGGGTGTGTGTGGCTGTGTGTGGCTGTGTGTGTGTGTGTGTGTGGCTGTGTGTGTGTGTGGCTGTGTGTGTGAACTTGAACTGAAATATTCCAATTGGCCTTGAGTCTCTAGACCACCACCCTTTTATCAACAAACACCATGAAAAGCCAGATACCCTTGTCACTGTTGGTATGAAATCAGTCCATAAACGGAACCCCGGGATTACACACGTTACCTTAACGTCACAACAACTTAGTCCTACCTATCAAGCTACCGTCTGCTGCCTCCTGCTTTATTTTACGTATTAAGTCATTACGTTGTTTTTACGTTACGCAGGGCCACGGTGGTCCGAGGAGTCGCTATCGTTGACTGTCCACTAGAGTACGGACAGTGTTTTTGCTCAGTACCTGATCTTGTTGTTGCTGCTAGTCTTGTAGAACAGTGCGCCGCCATTTTTATTAGTGGTCACGTGGTGCGCGAGTCACATGACGCGTTCAGAACGAGAATCATTTTTGGTTATTGGTCAGACATGCGCACATCAGAGCCTTAATAATAATAAATAATAATAATAATAATAATAATATAACATCTGACCTATTACTTCGTAGAAAGAAGTGTTTAAACAATAACAATAACAGTAATAAACTATTTACAGGCCTGTTGGTACAAAACAAAACAAAAGATTATAACAATATGAAGTGTCTACTTTTAACTATTGTAAACCTGTCTTTTTATTTATTTATTTTTTCACGGACGCATTCTGTCTGGTAAATTTTTATAATTTCATTGACATCATAATTAAGAACTGTCTACTTCTTACAATGCAAACAGAAAATCTGTAAAAACACACAATTATATACGTAAATGTATTCTGCATTTTATTTGTTTTTTTATGATTAGTTCATGATTTTATGAACTATATCTACATTTAAATAAATCATATAAAAATATAAATATTTGAAAATTATTGTATAAAAATTATTTCAGGAAATCTGTGTCTCTTATTTACATATATACAGGATGCATGTTTTTTTTTTTACTATGTGGGAGTAAACCGGAGTAAACCCGCCCAGACAGCCCACAGCTTCCTTTAGGTCACTGCAGGTCTGCCCTCTCCTCTCCTCTGCTTTTGAGGACAGTCTCTTGTAGGCATTTAGTTCAGAAGTTAAATAAATGAATGATGTTTCGACGGGCTGTTTTCTTACCGTAGAGTTATCATCCAGGTATTTAGCATCAAGCTTACGAGACTCAACAATCAAAATCCACTGTATATTATCACAAACTTAAATCACACACACACACACACACACACACACACACATATTCTGCATTTTATTTGGTATTTTATGATTAGTTCATGATTTTATAAATTATATATACATTAAAGAGGTACTGTACCCTAAAACATGTTATTTTGACATGACTGAAAATCTGCACTTGTGGGTTAAATATGTCTCAACGGTTTTAATTCACTCTTTAAAGTGGACATGAAATGTAACATGTTTTGGCACAGGTAGTGTCAAAACATGTTAGAAAAACACATAAGTTCAGTAAATCAGCTTAACTTGGTTGACTGCTTCATATCCTCTTTAAATTTTAAGACAAATGCTGAGATAGTCGACTGTTACGTCGAATAATTTATATAAAAGAAAAGTGTAAACGCTCTCTAATCCCCCGACCTCCACACTGAGGCTGTGACACTGCTGCGCTCATTTTCAAATGTTTACTGATTCAGATGCATTATTCACAGGACTTTATGCTAGTTTTTTTGTTAACCCTCTATTTACTATTTTTCTGTTTTTATTCAGTGGTTCGAACTTGTGCTTTAGTGGAAACACCAGGGACTACAATGTTTACCGTGAGACACCGGAGAGTGAGCCTCTCTTGGCCTACAACAACAGCTGTTAGCTCAGCTACCACACAGAAACTTTTACAAACTTTAACCGTCCAAAGTGCTTCAAGTGACTGTAAAAACTCCTTTTAGTGTCTTTACACATGTACAGTGTGCATGTTTTTGACAGGAAACTGGAGAACCATATAAAAATATGTTAAAATAGATATTATTGTATAAAATCATTACAGGAAATTGGTGTCTATCTCTATTTAGTAATATTAAACCGGAGCACCCGGAGAAAACCCACACAGACACGATAACCAGTGTGGTTACTGATTGTCCTTTCTGTTTTCTGGTCACTAAATAATAGTGTGTAAAAGTTAAATCAGTAAAACAAAATGTGACGCATGCTAATGTATAAATAAACATTCACCCGTCAATTAATTTTCAACTTTTGGCGATACAGAGTTAAAATTAATTCGTTAGCCAACTAGCAGCAGCATGGCTAGCTAACGGAGTGGAGTGTTTCTAGGTGGCTGTGTCTCTGATTGTTGTACAAAAACTCAACTTTATAAGTGATTTGTTTGAAACTGGATTATATTTAATGGAGAAAATATTGTCTGGTTTTCCCTCTGACATCCTCCAGCTGCTCTGCCTCCACTAACTGCTAATGTATCTGCCGTTAGCCGTTAGCTAACTGTTAACATATCTGCCGTTAGCCGTTAGCCAACTGTTAACATATCTGCCGTTAGCCGTTAGCCAACTGTTAACGTATCTGCCGTTAGCCGTTAGCCAACTGTTAACGTATCTGCCGTTAGCCGTTAGCTAACTGTTAACGTATCTGCCGTTAGCATGCAACCGGACGGGGCTCAGCAACCTCACAGTGAACACAACCTCTGACACAGACAGAGGATGGTTTGAGGATAGTGGTACGAAGGTGATTTATGGAGTTTCCAGATGGACTTGTTGTTAAAAGAAGCTTACTGTTGCTCACAGTAATGTAATACCGTTAGCTAGTTAGTTCATGCAGCTAATGTTAGTCAACTTAGCTAATTTAGGGTGGCAGGAACCAAAACCGGTAATAAAAACACCTCCGTACTTTAATCCCTGTCTTCAAACTGTCCTATGTCGGCAATGGACGCTGTATTTGGTCCCGGTCTGAAAGTGATTTTCACTGGAGGATGACAAGTCCCTCGCTAGCTGCCTGTTTGAACAGGAAATACATAAATGTGCGGAAGCAAACAGCACTCTGATTTTTCACCTGGACTTTAATGGAACCTTGTAAAATTATCTTTCTTTTCATTGTCTGATGTGAAACTGTCTCCATTTTGGCCTTTTGGAGCTATTCAAAGGCCTCTGTGCACCTTTTCATAGAGGAAGGCTATCCCATGTTCGCGAAGGTCACTTGGTCAACACTTTAATGCTAATATGTAACAGGTGTGGCTGTAGAGCTGCGTCTGGTCTTCACCCACAGGTATATCCAAAGTACTGGTCCATCAGGGAATACTCGGAATAAATAAAGTGTTATAATATCCGGACTGTTCCACGTTTTCTCTCTACGGTGGAACCACATGTCGTACATCGTCATTCGTGGATTGAAAGAGAGCTTAAGAAGAGAGGTCATGGCGTGTGTAGTACCCAGATAGCAAACATCATTGAAACTCTGTTGAATCAATATTCTGCTGTCAACGCTAATTTCATTGAATCAACGTAAGACTCCCAGTATCACAATTGAAACAACGTTGAAATAATAGCCTAACTAAAAATCATGTGACTTCAATGCTATTTCAACCAGAATAAATGTTGAATGAAATTGGCTATCCTAAACATTAGGCTTTATCTAATATATAAATAACAACAGACAATTTACATCTGTTAAGAAAAACAACTTTATTTATGTAAAAACATTTTTTTAAAGCTTTACTCCTGCTCTGGGGTTTTGCGTCCAGCCCCACCCATCCGGTCTGGAGCATACCGAAGCCACTATTGTGCTTCCTGAGCAAAGGCAAATTCAGTGGCTCCTGCTCCTATTCGCTGAGTCAGGGCATCTAAAACAGAAAACATACGAACAAAAACATCTAGGTATAACTTTTAGTTGCTAATCTTCGTGCTGATTGGATATTCTAGTCAACTCTGGGCTGTAGCTTTCTGTCTACTAAACTGTCAAGTCAGTCTGAGGTAATTTGTTGCAGAGGAGACACTACGACAAACTCCGGCAGGTTAACATCTGGAAAATATAAAATTACCCTTAAGTAATTACCATTGTTTTCTTGGCCTCCAGAGACTGGAGTGTTGCCTCTGCACTGTCCAGCTCCTCCATAGTGTGCCGGCAAAGCCACAGGCAGAACCCCAACATTCAGAGGTTGGTAACACCTACATGACTGGCCTTCATTTCTTCACTTAGGCCCCTCACCTCTCTGGTCAACTCTGTGACTGTGGTAAAAAAAACAATACTACCCAAGTTTGAGGTGGTGCAGGTTGTGGATTTACCTTCTTCACACCTTTGTTTATTTATTAACAGGGTAGTTGTTTGCACCCCCACATTGGTTTAACCAGAGCAATAAGGGACCCAATAAATCCAGTGGATCATTTGTCTGGAACAAACGTAAAAGTTGTTTGAACCACGTTTAGTTCTACAAGAGCACTGTACACTTCTGTTGGTCGAACAGCCTCTCTGGGTTTTTGAGGGTTGAGGGTTTGTGCGTTACTTTGTCCCCTAAACTTTCAGGGGAACTGCAGCTTGCACCGTTGCATTCATCCAGCAATGAACCTGAAAGCCATTTGGAAACTTACAAATGGTCTTGACATTAGTTGACATGAGTTGTCAGTTTGAGTTCTGCTTCGTTGTCACCGAGCTCTTAAACACACGGCACTGTTGCACCGACTTCTGCAACTGAAGTGTCTGAAGCTTTCTGGGACAGACTCTGGTGTTGGCCTCTGATTCTGAAGTTGCATCATTAAAACACTCTTACATGTTTCTTTGTCATGGTCTTGATTATGTCCCTGTGGGAAGTATGACTCCCAAGAGTCTCCTAGCAGCTTTAGTGGCTAAAGTACCCATGGAAAGGGGGAAGGATAAGGGAGAAAGGGGGAAGAGGGGGTAAAGAGAAATGTAGGGAGGCTGGAGAGGTGAAGGGGAAGGAAGAAGGAACTACTGTTGTCCAGCAGCCTTCTGTTACCTCACTGTCCCTGTTGTTTTTCTTTTTCAGCAGCCAGTGAATAAATCCCTTCTACTAAGGTATATTCTCCTCCTCCTCTTTTTATTTCTTTGTCTTTTCTTTCTGTCATCATCTTCTTCTGAAGGATGTTGAAGACTCTTCTCCAGCGCTTCTTCTTCTGCAGATGAAACTCCTGCAGCTGTCTATTGTCCTCCCCTAGCTGTTGCACTGCTGTCTCCCAGCTCTGATCTTTGTCCACAAGGACTTTATTTTCCTCCCCCAGGTCGATCGGATAAATTCCCTAAGGAGTTTGTTAAAATGCAACATGAAAATTACCACTAAATCCAAAACAGCTTACTTCTCGTTGAATTTGGGATGTGGGTCCAAAAAACTTTTCTGCTTGTCTGATCATGACACATCTGAACATGTGTGTTAAATTTTCATACATATTGGTCGTATGTGTCTGGGGGGCTGATTCTGGGGACGTGGCTAAGCCATTTAGCGATG